GATGTCTCCGATGTTACACATGTACAAGGAATTCCAAATTTTATTATCATATATTAAAAAAATTAATTTCTTTTATTATTAAAAAAATTAAATGTTCAAAATTATTTATTCTGTCAATTGATTCATGCATTGTCTCCAACTTTACGCAAGTGTGCAAAATTTCAGATCGATTGGAGAGGTAGAAGTGTGTTAAATATCGATTATTAGATTGGTAGCAGACAAACAAGAAGTGAAGTTAAAGAGAAGTGTTGTAAAAATGAGTGAGAATTTATCCAAATAGTGATTGAATTTTTGCCGGATTTGAGTCATCCTGACCCACCATGGGAAAAAAGGCGTATCAGTGCTACGAGCAGCAAGCGAGTCACTATTTGGCCTATTTGGCCAAATAGTCTAACCACTCCTTGAGCTATGGGAAGCAGCTGTTTTGTGATGACATGGGTGTGTTGGTGGTGCATTACAGGGTGATGAAAGCAGCTGTGCAGTTATGAAAAAAGGCGAAGTAAAAGTATAGGAAGCATCGCTGCAGTTTGTAGGTAATTTTAGAGATTGGATAGTAAAACCTACACGCCAGTGACGCCAAATGTGGCCGGGTTGCTGTACGGTCTCATGAGCCAAGTCAAGAAGTCATGGTAAATCAAAGTGTAAGAAACGGCAGGCTGAAGCTAATATACTGTATATGACACCCGCATTTCGCTCACCAATGATTGAGTGCATTACGCCGACAAGAAATAAATGGCCCATTTACGCAGAAGGCATTGTTTTAATGCGTAGAAGCTATTGTTCTTCAGCGAACGCTTGGTAGTTGCACGCGAAGATTAATAACAAACCCAAGTCGTACATCGTGAACCCTATCAATAACAGATACAACTCATACAGCGATATCCGTATTTCTGAACGTTTGAGGTTCCCAATTTGAAAAGGCGATGGTGAAAGTCAGGATGGACGGCTAAGTAGTACGCAGTCAGTGGGTTCGAATTGTATGACCTCAGGCACCTCGAGAAAGCTCCAGGTTCTAATTTGTGTAATTCATACAAGCTCCGTAAATAGTGTATTAGCAGTTCAACACGGTGTTGCTCGGGATTGATAATCACTAGGATTAAAACAATTATATCCTTTTTAATCTGATGAAAATTTTTTGTTTGGAGTAATGAAAATTAAAGCTAGATCGCGCAGGGTGTCTGTCTGTTAAAAGGTCGAAGACCCGTTATATTGCTTTACATTTCTACCCGTTTTGAAATTTGATGGAAACTTATTATTTCTGAATAAAATTCCCCATACCATTTACTATACAAAACAAACATACAAATAAAATATCCACAAATTAAATAATTAACAATTTTTTAACATGTACAATTATTATACACATCGCTCCTTCCCAAATTCCGAATGACCACGCATGATTATTTGATAGAGTTGTGTACAAATTATTATTATTATGTTTGGTATATTTTGGTACCAACTTGTATAAATTTCACCGAGGTTGACGAACAAGAAACAATTATTGTAATTGGAGTACTATTTATTGAATCCCTGTGGTGAATAAAAATTTATGTTATAGACATTGCTCAGAAAATTCACGATTGAAATACTCTTGCATGCCCAAGATCATAGATGCAAAAACTGATAATTTCTAAAAAGTGCTTTGGACCGCGCAAGCCCAGCCGTCGGAGAGACACTGTACAGGAAATTTGAGTTAACAGGCAGGTGAAAATACACATAATTGTGGCCTCCAAGCACTGACAGCCACTACTGGCCTCATGAACAAGTAACGTGAGCTTATTGGCTTGTGAAAATAGTGGCGTCCACTTGTGACCGCCAGGAGTGACTGCCTCGTGAACACGCAAGGAAAGCTGACTGCCCAATTACATTACTAATATTATTGCCACCTTAATAACTATACAACAAAAAATATTCCTCGTCTCCACAAAAATTATAACTCCAATCCAGAGCAGATTTTCTCAGAAAAAAATAGCACAGGAAGGCAAAATATTTGAAATTTATAAATTAAAGCGTCACACGTGCTTGTTTAACTACAAAAGTAAACCGAATCTTGATTTCAATTGCACTGAAATAATCATGCACGGATGCAAATGCAAATTAATTTAAGTACAAATCAAATCAACTAATTTTCTAGGGTTTGGGTCAGAACGCAATATGAAATGATAAATGCACACGGTGGATTTATACAAGTTGTGCGAGATGGTGTAAAACACGTCCAAGTCCGCGGATAAAAAATAGCTATAATTCAATATTTACGAGTAAATTTGTAGGATCCGGTGTAAAAATTCATTTGTCATTTTTTCGTTCTTTATAAATTCAATATATGGGTGCCCGGGAAGTGCCGCTACCATCATAAATTTTTGACAGCCAACGCATTTGCATAAAAAATGAAATCGCGGAATTCGTCACGAAAGAAAGACCGTCTAGCAACCCTGATTTAAACCCCTTCTCTCCTCCCAAAATATGACTATCATTGCATAAGCATTTTTCGCTGGGTGACTGAACATTATCGAAGAACGCATGCCTAGAAAGCATGACGCGTTGCCGGAGAAAGTGAACGCATCATTCACTCGTGCTGTTCATGCTGCATGTATGAGTGAATAAACCCCGTTCACTCACGCATGTTATAAGAGAGCATTAACTGCATGGAAGATTTATTATAGAGTCGATAACGATCGAAAGAATTGCCAGGAGATATTATTTGCCGTTAAGTTGATCGAGAGAAAATGTGCATTGCGAGACGACTTTTATTATACCTGATTTATTGGAATAGTTAGGCAGGAGCAGTCGTTTAAATCAAGTTTATTGATCATCATTGCGTAATTCTAATTAACAGTTTTCTTATAGTTCCCTCAAGCCGAGACTTTTAAAATTACTAGAAAATTGAAGGTTATGGCACTAACAGTGGCCCGTATGCTAAATGGGACACTAGCACTACGAAGTAGCACTACGCACTACAAGCCGTAGTGCCGTACTAGTGCGACATGGAACACTACGGTTGGCATGCTAAATAGGGCACTAGCACTTTGAAGTAGCACTACGCACTGCAAGCCATAGTGCGGCATGGAACACTACGGTTGGTATGCTAAATAGGGCCAAAAGCATAACGCGCACTACAAAAATCTGAAGTACACACCGCACTTCACGACGACAGTACGGTATATTTCACCTTGTTTACTTCGTCAGCTATGGATCTGTTTGGCTTACAGCATGAAAGGCATCATCGCGTAAAAACCTCAGGAGCAGCATGCCATGAATATAAAAAAGTGTACCGCTTCAGTGAACAACATGTTATTCTTATGGCTGGCATTTTCCTTGGCGAAACATATGAACAGCGTAGAAGTAAAAAATAATTTTCTTGTTTTTGATACCATGTTTTGAATTTTCTTTTTTTTTTTTTTTTCTGAAGTCATTTTGAATTCTTCTGCAAGAACTTTCTATGCTTCTCTCTTTTTTTCGATGTCTTTGGTAAGCGTGGACTTTGAATATATGATGGGAAAGGTGCGCAGACGCATTGCGAATTTCAGCTCACCATCACAATTTTCACTAGTACCATTACCATCACAATTAGACATTTACATCAATCTTCTGCAAAGAATGAGAATTTTTTAGGGAATAATTAATTACTTGAGTACTTAACTACCATTCTTCAATAGACTCATAGCGTAGTGCGGCACTATAAAAGTACTCTAACAGCGAAGTAGCACTTCAAAGTCTTGCTGCATACCAATCAGTAGTGCGACACTAAGCGACACTAAACATTGTAGAGCTACTTCGAAGTGCTTAGTATCTGTGACGTATTTAGCATACCAACAGGACACTTCGTAGTGCATAGTGCTACTTTGTAGTGCTATAGTGCTAGTGCCTATTTCGCATACGGGCCAGTAATGGCAGAGCGAGCTCAAATACATTGACCTGTACTTATTTAACATACAATTTCTGTCACACGTGAGCTCTGCAACCAGTGCCTTGATAGTAAGTATAAGAATCGAAAAGACTATAGCGTTAATAAGCACGTTTATCCTCATAATCCCAATGAAAATTTAAAATTCAAGCTCTATGAACATGGTAACAAATGTAAGACTTAATTAAAACACAGGCGAATGAGGACGAGGATTGAGTTGATGTTCAGCCGGCTGGGTTGTTGATTGGTTGAAATTCATGGCACCAAAATTTTTGTAGTAACTTTTGGGTTCGATACCAGCAGCTAACTGTTAAATGTTCTGATCGAAATTGGCGAAATGGCCGGGCGATTAAAGCACAATAGATACTGGATCAGTGAATTACGAGTTTGAGACCCGCAGGAAGCTGTAAAAATTCTGCGAGGTTCTGAATCGATCACAGACCCTGCAGTCAAATCTTTAACACCACACGGGTATTATTATTATCATTATAAATAACAAATGCCTGACAAAGGTGTAAGCATATGGATCTATGACACGACGCACTCGCAACAAGGAAATTTGTGAGGCTAACGCAAACTCATCAACTTGACCGAAAAGTTATTAGGAAGTGTTCAACTACACGAACTCTGATGCACACCGAAGTCCAAACGCCTTTTTTTTATACGAAAAGTAAAGTGAGTAATTTCTAGAGACCTGTACGTACGGACATAAGAAAGTTTCGAGATGAAATTTGTCGGAAATAAGAATAATTAATTAATTACTAAGAATAAGAATATATAAGCGTTTGGATATTCAATTTTAATCACAACTCGTGCCAGTATAATTTAACCATCTGTAAGAACAATAATTAATCAGGAGTCAGGACACATTTTCACATAAAGTTCTATGTAAAGAATTTAAAATCTTGCAATTTACAATATTTCAATAAATAGAAAGTTAACCCGATTTTTCAACATATAGACACATTTTGCACAGGTATGATGGAACGTTAATAAAATAAATAATACTGTCGATTAACTAACGAAAAGACAAATTTCATATGAAGAAAATAGTTGAATGCTATGCATGTACCAAACGAGTTTGTGGTATTCTTACCTGATGAAAAGTTAAGAGTATAAATAACGTTACTGACAGTCTACTGCCAATAGCGGAGCGTTTTAAGCTAGCCATGCTCACTCGTGCACTGCCGGATCACAACTGGCGGCTCGGTGCTAAAGTGTCAGGTAAGGTCACAGAGTTTGCTAGTTCTATTACTGCCAGATCACAGTCGTCACTCGTCAGTGAAGACTCAAGTGCACGGCAGCGTTGCCAGATGGAATATTTCTATACCAGATTTCACAAATCTGGTATTTTCAGACGGTGTCTGGTATGAACATTTTAGATCTGGTATATTTGCCCTAATCTGGTATTTTTCTGGTATTTTCTGACTTACTGCAAATTTACTGCATTAAGTTCCACCTCTGAAGTTTGAAAATAACTGCACAGTACATAAGGTAATTTTTCTTCTAACCAACGTTTCTGACGAATAGTTTTATAAAATTTGGAGGTATTAGTCTTTTTTTGAACGATAGAATTTCTGGTATATTTCTGGTATTTTGAGCTAGGCAGTCTGGTATTCTCGCCAAGAAAAAACCTGGCAACACTGGTGCACGGGAATCCGGAATCAGTCAGCTGCTGTGGCTCATGTGGGGGCTGTCAGGCTGTGGAGTGCAACTGCAACACAAAGTTTACAGAATAATTATTTGCTGAACTATTAAATAAAATTTAAGCAAATAATGCAACAGTCAAGTTACGGAATGTTAGTTAAAAACTGATTATTTTACAAATAAAAGTGTCTCTCATTAGTGATTACCGTAAGAATTCAATGCATGGTCGCCGACTCGCCTTTGGCTTGCCCATTGCGGCGTTGGCTGCTTGGCGTTGCAAGTTGCGCCATAATCACATCAGAAACATTCATTGTTGCCAGGTTTGTCGGGCTTACAGTCTGAACTGTCTGTGAAGAAATTCGAACATTCACTTCCATATGCACATGGAACATATGCGCTGATAATGCGCAGGCCAGGCAGCGTAGATACGATTACGAGATAACTAGCTGCCGATAGCCGGTTTAGCTATAACTATATTCGCCTATGTGAATGTGATACCTAATCAGATAATGTGACTAATGTGAGTATGTCTCTATCTAGTATCTATCACTATGAACTTTGAATGCTAGCCTATGTAACTAGACTATTTAAAAGCCGTTTTTCCCAGAGTTACTAAAACTGAGTTGGGTTTCTGCTTTCTGGTCTGCTGGTTAGTGGTCACCACTGGGCACTGAATTTGATAACCTATATCAAACTGAATTCATAAAATGACATAAGTTGAAGGTTTGTGTAATATTGTGTTAGCCCCTACCGGTACCGGTATTCTCTTCAGTTTTCACGACTTGTTAATATCTCCCTTACTGGTTTTAGTGGTTTATAGGCTAATTTAGATGATGTCTTGACTCTTGAGGCTTGAGCTAGGTTTTAATACCATTAAACGGGGTAATAAGGGATGGGTGGGGTAAATTGGGAGTCAGGACATTCCTCTCACTCCCACATTTGGTATAAATGTTGCTGCAGCTAAAGTAATCAAATATTGTAAAACTGAAAATAGTGATGTAAAGTTTGACATTTTTACTAAAAATGTTGTATAAAGCAAGTTTAGAAATCATACATTTACTACGGTTAAAAATTTCTGAAAAAAGGTGTGAAAAGTGAAATTTTTACTTTATAAATTTGGAAAAGTATCTCTGCTAAGGCCTAAGGTATGTAGGAAAAAAATATTTGCCCTTTTACTAACATAAAAATTTCACATAGGTGTTGGCCTAAAAACGTGATTGACAGAATTTGCGTACAGTCAAACTGGTAAAAGGGACAGGCGGAGTAAATTGGGATGTGCGTCCCACATTTCATAGAAATGTTGTAGCAGCTAAACTAATCAGAATATTGCAAAACTAAAAATAGTGGCATAAGCTTCTACATTTTTACTATCTATTATGTATAAAGCTAGTCAAGTAATCAAACGTTTACTACCGTCAACCGGGGCAACTCGGGACTGGCGGGGCAACTCGGGACGCACCTCTGACACGTTGTAAAACAGTCATAGTAGCGAAACTAATTGGAATATTGCTAAACTAAATATAGTGGCCTAAACAACAACATTTTTCCTATCTATGTAGTATAAAGGATACTACATTTACTTGCATTNGCTTCTGGCACCTTACCAATAGCATATGGAATTTTTTTGAAGATGCCATTCGATAGCCCTCGCAAAGAGCTATAAAATGAGCCTAAACTTGTTTATGAAATGTTTCATCGTAAGAAGTTATTAACAAAAAACGCTCAAAACCGTCCCGAGTAGCCCCGGTTGACGGTATCTCTAAAAAATTGTTGAAAAAAAGTTTAAAAAGTGCTATTTTGGAAAAGTTGGTATATACTTCTCTTTCTACTAAGGTCTGGAGCAAAAAAAATATTCGCTGTATTAAAAAATTTTACTTACATAAAAGTTGCACACAGGTGTTGGCTTGAAAACGTAATTGATGGAATTTGCATATCTCATTCCCAAAAAATGGCAGAACCTCAATTAAAAAAATGGTAGAACCTCAATTAGCAAAGGTTCCAGCTAAAAAAATTGATTAACAAGAAAAAATTTTGATTACATTTACCTCACTCAGCAAAAAAATTTCACTTGACAAAAAATTATTGCATCTTTGGTCATCACAAAATTATGCATAGAATGTCATAGATAGAATTGTGCACTGGGCAACATTGAATGAATGATAATTAAGCTAAAATATGATTTATTTCTCCAAAAAATATGATGGTTGTCTGTAAAATATTTCTTTCTTTGTCAGGTATGCTTTTAAAATCTTTCTAGTGCATTTTCTCATTTATGGAAAAAAGCACTATTGTGCTCACCATGTCTGTTCATCTGTCTGTCCATCTGTGACTTCACGTTTTTGTCTATGAGAAAATGTGCTCTCTGTCACTCACTGCAGGGAGTAGGTACTGAGTTATATTTTTTTGTTATACCTAGCAAATTCATTTGTCCCAATTAAAATGGTTTAAAATTACAAGCAGTCTTTAAAGCTCATAGATACAGATGAAATGCTATACGGCTGCTGTTATACGGAAGCTTGCAGTGGGTATCAACAAAGGAAAAACAAGTAAAAATCACAGGAAAAGTTATTTATTCTACATCTACATCATCTACAATGGAAGAGGGGGACTTCAGAGTACTGTTAGTAATGGATGAGTACACTCTGTAGGCTTCAAATGTTTTAAAATTAAGTTTTATTTCAAGTGTCGGGGATTACCTTTTTCCCAGGGGTAATTCGGGACACTTTTATTTTACCTCGGGCATCTTAGCATATGGAATTTTTTCAGAGATGCCAAACAATAGCTCTTGCAAAGAGCTTCAAAATGAGCCCCAACTTGTTTATGAAATGTATCATGGCAAAAGTCAAACGCTCAAAAAACAGTCGCTTATTACCATTTGAGGGTAATATCACATCAATAATGCGGTAATGTATGGATATTGTAATATATCAATAAAGGAAAAACAAGTAAATTTCACAGAAAATGTCATTTATTCCATATCTACATCATCTACAAAGGAAGAGGAAGACTGCAGGGTACTGTTAGTACTCTGAAATGTTCAGACTTCAGAGTACTTCAAATGTTTTAAAATTGAATTTTATTTCAGGTATCCCAGATTACCCCCTTCCCAAGGGTAATTTGCGGCACTTTTATTTTGCATCTGGCACCTTACAAATAGCATATGGATTTTTTTCAGAGATGTCATATGATAGCTCTTGCAATGAGCTTCTAAAATGAGCCCAAACTTGTTCTTGAAATGTTTTATGGTAAGGAATTAGGCATGAAAAACTCTCAAAACCATCCCTTATCACCCCCATTTGATGGTATGTTAGAATCTATGTAGAGAGTAGGCTGTAGACTCATAAGGTCAAAACATCTAATTGTCATCTATTCCTGGTACCGTATTTGTTTCTTCCTATGGCTTAGTGTATTATTTCAGTTAATATTAATCAATAATCAATAAAGTGGCAAATGAGCGATTTTTTAGATATCAATTCATCTTTGATTCTCTGAATCAATAAAACAAAAGTTGCTACTATGCAGTTATTGCACTTAACTTGCTCCTTGTCAATAAAAATATAATTTAAGTCAGTACTATGATTGGTATGATATTTAGATTTTGAATTTTAATTCACTAGTTAATGGGCTAACACTGCAGTTAATTGACTTGAATAATGGCTAAGAATCTCATGATTGAGCAAGATTCTAGAAAGTTATGGCTCAGTTGTGTTGAAAATAAAGAATTTCTTTAAAAGACTGGCAACATAAGCATTGTGAACTGTGGTGACAGAAGTGGCATTGATGGCAGTTCAAAATTTCATATTAATCAATATTGATGTTTCATATGAATTATTATCACTATCATCACTATGATAATGCATTCAAAACTAATATCCATGATACTCTATAGGTCTACTCATAGAACTCAGAATGGGACAGTCTAAAAAAAGTCTGCATTACCACAACCCAGTAATTAACTATGATAACAGTCATCATTTATTAATGCTCTAAAATATACAATGGTGTGACCATGTGGCTTGATAGCCTGGAAAAATGTTAGAAATGAGCTACTGACTGGCACCTGTGGATGATGCAAAAACACCTGTGCTCAGGGACAATTACCGGTATATTTAGCTTTTATATACCTAATTTCTTTTATGCAATACCGGGACTTTTATGCAATACCTTTGATACATAATCATTTTATGCAATACTTTTGATAAATGATGATTTTTGCTAGCAATATAACAAAATCATCATGAAATGATTATTTTTACCAATAATTTGTATTAAAGTTTAGTACTAGAAAATTTGACCTTCTGGCCTTTAAAAAAAAAAAACTCATGACTACAAAGTCACATGCTTTTTATTTCATTTTAAAACTTATTACTTGGTATAGGTATAAATCTCCACTTAAAACATGGGACAAGAAATGACAAAGTTTTATTTCTAAGATAATGTATTGATAGCAAGTTATGGTATATCAGCTATTGCTCTAGCAATCTCCGTTGGCAAAAAATTTTCATGTATTTATTCTCATCAGTATTAAATATTTTGTAATCTTAAGTTTCACAAACTACTGACTTCTTTCTCTACAGTGTGAACCTTATAAATTTCTTATAAAAATCATGGGAGCCAATACACCTCAAGAACATGGCTGCTTCTCAAAGCTTTTCCCAACAAAATCAAGTTTCCTGATATTTTCTAGTTACCTTGCTCTTGGTGTAAGTCTGGGTAAGTAACTTGGTGTGAGAGGAACTTAACTTTGGTTCATTGCATTATATTTTATATTTGTTATGAGTTATTATATTTCTGTTTGCTCAATCAATCAGTTGCATGATAGCAATTTCATTGACCTTGGGAGCATCATTTCAAAATCCTTGAGGGGAGCGTCTGGGGTAAAATTTATCTCGGCTATTCACAGACGGATCACTCTGAAACTTGGTACACATATGTAAAACAGAATTCTAAGACATTTTTGTTCATGTGAATTTTTCGAAAAAAATGAAAGAAAACGTGAAATTATTAGAAAACGGCCAAAAAAGGGGGTACTGTAGAAATCTATCTCCTCCTAGGATTTAGCATAAATCAACGTACAGAGATGATTTTGGTACCATTGGATAGAGCAGAATGTCAGCTTTAAGATGAGACTAAAAACCGGAAAAGCCAAAATTCAAAATTTTACCCCAGACGCTCCCCTTAAAATGAAATTTTGACTTGTAGATCGTCATTTTATTCATTAACAGCTGGTTAATTATGGATAACACATGAATCTAAATCATTAGACAACTTATATAGCAAATTCAAATTTATTTATTCTGTTATCAGCTTTTCAGCGCATTTTCTCATTTATGGAAAAAATGCACTATTGTGCTTGCCATGTCCGTCCGTCTGTCCATGACTTCACGTTTTCGTTGACGAGAAAATGCGCTCTCTGTCACTCACAGCAGTGAGTACTGAGTTAAATTTTTTTAAGTTTGTGTATGCAAGAAAGCTGTAGTTAAAGTGTATGTAATTACCTTTATTTTAAATAAATTTTGAAGTAATGAACAAATTTTCAGGGATATTAGTGACCAGAACTCAAGATAAAAGCAATGGATACTCTTACAACATAACAACTGCTGTGCTGCTCGTTGAATTGCTGAAGCTTACTGCTACTTCAGCATTCTACCTCACCAGGTTTGCAGCACTTGCATAAAATAGGAATAATACCTATAATAATAGAAATATATAATAGAAATAACAAGGCCATATAATCCAAATAGAATTATATGGCCTTTTTTGCGTGTATTAGTCTGTACAGGACTATTATTTCCAGCAGTTTGTTGGGCCATATTTTGTAATTTTAAAGTATAAGTATGATTAATTGGATTATTTTTTTGGTGTAAGGTCTATGACCCCCTTGGAATTGGTTTTACACTTTGTTTAAACTAAAATTTTTATCATTGCTTCTGATTTTAAAAATCACTAATGGTGTGCATCATTGTTTAATTTCAGAGACAGCTTTGCTCACCTTGTTGAGCAAATTTTTCATTATCGCACAGGTGAGTGCTTGGCTTGCTCTGTAATATGCATCTGGAGTTTTTTGTGGGTTATGTAGTATATATACCTATCTACTTTGATGATATTTTTGGTTTTATATTAATATAAATTTCATATCTTAGCCTCTGAAAGCCTTTGCTACTGCCTGTGCTTGCTTATTTCATGGTCTTGCATTCATCAATATTGTTGCATGAAGGTTTCTGTTGGACAATTTTCATAAATTTATTAAAAAGTAGCATCTTGTATTCAATTTTTAGCCAGACTCATGCTCATACAGTCATACATTACAGGCAAAACAAAACATAATGCCAGCACGTATCTATATAATTTAATATAATAGTAAACTCTTACTTTTTGCATTTTGCTTTTGGCAGCTGTGAGTGCATTCTAACTAATGCTGGGCATTGTTGCATTGGATTAAATAATTTTTCATGACATTTAATAATTTCAGTGGTTTTTATAAAGTTTGCCTCTGATAACAGTAATACTATATTATTTTATTACAAAATCATTCAAGTTTTCCTGGTTTATTTGATTGAAGTGATACATACTTGCTTTCTTTTTAGCGCATTTTCTCATTTATTGAAAAAAAGCACTATTGTGCTCGCCATGTCCGTCTGTCCGTGACCTCAAGTTTTCGTCGACAAGAAAATGCGCTCTGTCACTCACTGCAGTGAGTAATGAGTTATATTTTTTTTGTACCTCTGAGCAGCGCTTGCTTTGTACCTGGTGCCAGGAGTGCTCTACTGCCTGAGCAATAACCTCACTTTCACTAATCTTTCACATTTTGATCCAACAACCTACTTGCTGCTCATGCAACTTCGAGTCTTGGTTACTGGGCTTATTTATCAGGTAAATCTGGTGCATTGTACCAGTTCATATTATATATCGTGCACTATAGACAATGTTTACATTTTAACTGAGTATCCATTTTACACTTTACAGATTACTATTTCACTCTACAGATTACTACTATCTTGATTTTAGTAACACATTGTTGAATTTGTATAATTTGGGTTGCACAAGCATGCTGATGATGTGATGAAAGTGATAAGTAAATGAATTATATATGTATACAAAATTACAAACTATGTATACATTTACATTATTGTCAATACTGTAGGAGGTTCTCTTTGCTTCTGAATGCTTCTTTTTAGAATTGTTTCTAAATCTATGTGAAACAAGCAAATCTCATGTTAAAATTTATATTTTCTTCTTAAAGTTGTTAATGTTTTAAATCAATTATATATGTACATATATACTTAGCATTAGATGGCAGAATAAGCCTGTTTAAACTCGGGTGGTTAATGGTCATTAATTTACATTTTTGGGGTTGAACAATATTCTACAGAAGACATTGGCTGATCAAATTGCAGGTTGAAGGCAATAATTTTACTTTACTAGCAACGTTTCCAATGTAACAACATTTTCAACAGAAATGGTGAATTTTCTGGCTATTTTCTTTGCTTTTAAATTTTTGATAAACTTGCGATTTAAGCAGTCAAGTGATTTTAATACTTAACAACATTCATTTCCAAGTTATAGGAAGCTTTGAACACTAAAATTTGGGTGGAAATAAGTACCTACATGATGTACGTAAATATGATGCAACAAGAATTTTGGAACCTTGAAAATAACTCCAAAACAATATCAGATCCTTGAAAATCTGGTAGTTATGATATGGATAGCTGGAGTCCCATCCACAGAGATGAAGGCTTCAGTCATTGTCCATTGGATGATGTCAAGCCACTGCAAGATGATGATACTGGTGGGTTCCTCTAGACAGTCTTGTTTAGTTTGATGTTGTCAAAAGTGTCATGGAGCCTATGGAATTCATAGCAAATTTTGAGATGAAGTTGCTCCATTGTAATGCTTTGAGACCTGACCTAGTTGCTAGCTTGTCTTGGGTAGCAGAATATACCTACAACTGCTCAATGTCATAATAGTCACTCCAATTACTCCACTGCGGTCCAAGTAATGAAAAAGTCTAAAGCTTCTTTGAAGCAAAATTCATATATTACACCAGATTCTTGAAGAACAACCGCTCTTTTGAAGAGGCCGTTGCTGCGTATAGTTTGGGTTTGACGTTGTTGACCCGGTTGTCACAAAGCCTGTTGAATTCATCATGGATTTTGTGATGAAGTTGCTTGATTGAAATACCTTGAGACAGTTTAAATAACATCAAACTCAACAGGACTGTCACAAGTCACATGCACTGTGCTGGAGCAACCTACCAGCATCAACATCTTGCAGTGGCCCAACATTATCCGACCAACAATAGCTGAATCCCTCATCTCTACAGATTGGACTCCAGCTATCCATCTCATAACTACCTGATTTTCAAAGATTTGAGATTGTTTCAGAGTTATTTACAGGGTTCCAAAATTTTCCTGTTGTATCCTATCTATGTATAGTTTCATGTACTATTTATTTATTTATTTATGTGTATCATGTACATTTGGAATACAAATATACCAAAATTTCAGTATTCAATGCTTCCTATAACATTTAAATGAATGTTGTTTCATTCAAAACGTCATTAAAGAGTTAAAATTACTTAAACCTGCATTTTGATAAACCAACATCTTCTGAAGAATATTGTTCAATGCTGAGAATTTAATCAATGAATTCTCTGACCATTAATCACCCATGTTTAAGCAATATAGGTATATATAAATGTACATTTTTTTAAGGTTGATATTCTATGTAGACTTGGGTCTTGGTTTCATGGCATGTAATTTCTATTGCTGTGATAAAAAATACATGCCATACACACATATCACTGGCATGTATTTTCTATCATTTTCTTTTGTATTTTCTAATTTTTTTACTTTTTTAATGTTGAATTTTATATTCCTAAAGGACCTAGTTGCCTGCTTGGTTAAGGAACAGCTTTTGTGAGGAACAACCTACAGATTTTATATATATATGTTTTATTGCAGAACTGAATACTTGTCTACTATTATAACTTTAATTACCTGTGGTGTGGCTTCAATACATTTCTGATTCATGTAATGTAAAATGTAATTATAACCATCTAATCTAATTAGGAACAAATTAGAATTATACAATATTTTTACTGTATACTTCTTTTATACAATAGGACTGCTTGTGCTTTCTGTTGATTGATCATTAGACAAGAGTAGGAAATATGTATAATATAATATTAGACCTTCTGTATTGTGCCTACTTCATTATTTTCTCCTGAATCTGGAACAATTTTAACAGATTTTATTCAAGCGCAACTTGAGCCGCATTCAATGGATCTCGCTTCTTGTCCTCACCATTGGATGTGCCGTCAAGCAATTGGATGTCCAGCAAAAACAACAGACAGCACTACAGCAATCACCTGCATTATTGAGTGATGATAAGTTTGCCAGTTTGAAAATTGATGGAAATGATTCAAGGTTTCATTTCTCGAAGAAGCTGCTTTCAGCTTCACGCACTGAAAATATTGCAGCTCGTCAACGTGCATTGGTTCCAGATGAGACACAAGGTGCTTTGCCTGTTGGGCTACTGCTTGTTTTTGCCCAGGTATGTGTGGCAATTTTGCTAGTTGCCACATTTATTTATGATATCAATAATGAATAATGTGTGCTTAATGGTTAGTTTTGACATGGTTACTTGGAGTGATTCATTTCTCATGCTGAGAGAATTTTTGCATTGAGCAATTCCTGTTAAAAATCAATAGGTACTGATAATTAACACCAGTGTGAAATGTCTGACACACTAAATTCATCAACATAACTTCACTGATAGGAAAGAATAGAGATTCTTTGCCAATTAAATTTGAATGCTTTTATTATCCATTTTATGAAAATATACTGTGTGACATAAATATCAACAATAGCTGAGTGAAAAAGTTAAATATTTACTATAAACATCATAATTTTATTCTTAAATTGGCAAAGTAGAGTCATCATTTAATAAATTGCAATGTTTTAGCAAAAGTTATCCCTGTCTATTTTGCTGAAATATGTAAGCCAAGTAGCAAAATAAGTGTAAATACTAATATTTTATTTATTGTATTGGCATTTATTTTGGGTTGCAACATGGATACAAGTTTGACGTCTTTGAAAGTACTATAAAATTAATTTGTAAATATATTTTTAAGAATTTTTTATCAAGATCATGTTTGGTTGTTGTTTACACAAAATCATTTGAGTAACACCAACTATCATTTATCAATGTACCTCAATCAATGCCTCAGAACCTGACTTCATTCTGTGCTCTTCTCTAGATTGTGTGCTCATGTTTTGCTGGCGTGTACAATGAACGTCTCCTGAAGGATTACTCGTCAGACATGAGCCTGACACTGCAGAATGTTCTCATGTACCTGGATAGCAGCTTCTGTAATATCCTCCTGCTGGGTATCAAGGGAGAACTGGCAACGGCTTTAAGCTACGACGGCTTGCAGAAGGTAATTCATTGTTCATATTGTAAATTCAGTTGAAGTTTATGGGTTATAATCCTGCTTTTAACACTTGACTCGTGGATCATGATGGACTGAATTCCTATTGGAAATCGTGCTAATAATTATATTACTTGGTTAATGTATCATAAGATAATTTTCTTTATTCTTTTATGGCTATGTTTTTTTGGCTATATTGTCTGTCTTAATTAAATAATAAGATAAATATAAGATAAATTAACCATCAGATCGTGCTGAACCCTTCTGTGCTGCTGGTGATACTTAACAACGTGGCGCTGGGTCTCGTAACGAGCGTCTTCCTCAAGAACTTGAACTCCATTCTTAAAGTTTTTTCCTCGGCCATTGAACCTGTGGTGCTTGCCGTACTTTGCTTTGTGAGTGAACATGATATTGCCTCACAATCAACTGGCTCCTCACAATCAACTGGCCTCAAATATTTTCCCAAAACCCGTTATATGTGCATTTTTGCACTTCAATAAATTTTTCTTCAATCTATAATGGTTTTCTAAATTCTAAACCATTGCATAATTCTAAACCATTTCATATCCTAAAAGTAAATCAGGTTTTGCAAATTCTAATTGAGACCCATAAAAGTATTATAATTATCAATTAGCAGGAAATTCATGATTAATAATCAAAGTTTTTCATGCAGATTATCTTCGGGTACGAGATCACACTCTACACGGCGCTGAGCATCATGCTGGTCACGAGTGCCACTTATCTTTACGCCACGAATCCTGTAGCCGTGGCACCATCACCCTCAATACATCACAGCGCTGGCTCTTATAATAGCGTTACAAGTTTTGCATATGATGGGGTAGCTGCTTCTCAAAAAGATGCTAATTCCCTAATATTTACAGATAAACAGATGGTGAAGTCATGTGTTTGAATAAAATTGTTCAAGCTTAGTGAATCATTTTAGTTAAATGATCTGCGTAGGTACAGAAAAACTTATGGTTCAAGTCAAGCCAGTGGCTTGATGTTTTCAAAGGCATATTGAAAAGACATTAGTTTAACTATTGAACAGCTCATATTTTATTATTACAACCATTCTATTTTGAATATATATATTCATATTTCGAGTACATATTTGAAAGTAATTTGTGGACATTTCTTAAAGAGAACTAACGTCTACTTAAGAAGCCATTATTTTTATGTTAAATTTTGCTTATCTTGGCAACTAACATTCTAATAAGCATATTTTATGTGAACACTGCGACAAATTCAGTTTTGCCATCTGGTGTGCCATTATCTATTCTGTCGCTTGTCTATTACAATATTTATTACTTGTCGAGTCAGTCACTATATCGACGCTGTACTTAAAAAAAAATTTCGTTGTACTTAGACAATCAAAATAATATATATTTTCATAATAATTGACGTTCTTATTGTTAGTATCTGTTATATGCAAATCTTTTTTAAATATTGTTGAAGCCAGTTTGCGTTAAATTTTGAAAATGTGTTTAATGTAATAATTTAAATATACCAGATTCTCATGCAGAGGTACCGTACGTAATTTTTCTGCTTAAAATTTGTACTTTCGTAATAAAAGTCATAGTTGTAAGTTTTAATTGCTTGAAAAATTATAAATCATTCACCTTCACGTCGTCTAGTCTTCAATGGCTTCTATTTATTTACGCGTTTAGCTTTGGTATTGAGTGCACGGGAAAGTACTTTATTTCTCTAGAGTGAGAAATAAAGAGTGAGTGCTTTATTCATCTAGAGTGAGGAATAAAGAGCGAGTTCTTTATTCCTTTATTTTTCATGATATGTTTATGTTCGTCACCCTTATCCTTATTCAGGAACGATGTCCTACTTACACATTCCTACCTAAGATGCTACTTATGTAGGATGCTCTATTTTACCTGGACCGTTATCCCTACTTAAGACGTTACTAAAACTGTAGTTTAAGTGATTGAATCGCAACTATGATTGTACACTATCTGATCATGAACATTCCTATTAGCTCTAATATAAATAGGTTTTTTACTAATTTGACTTATATGATGTTCACATAAGTGCTGAGACGTGATTTTTTTTCTGCTAGGCCATCTCATATATTATGCATTCTATATTAAAGAATTTAAAGCAGAGAGAACGCCAAGTAAATTCACCATATCGACATTGAAAACGTTTCATTATATATCATATCATGCGCTCATGAGCACGGTTGACGTGTTCATTTAATAGATTTATTCATAATTGTGACGGGTTTGTGACTTGATGATTTCACTATTAATGTTAAACCACAGTATTGCAGCTAATTAACTTGACTATATATCTTTATCTTCAGTATTGCTCAATTTGACGTTGTATTGTAAAACTAACGAGGCTTTTCTCCGTACAATTAACTCGTATTTACTTGTTCATGAATGTTTGACGCATATTGCACTGCAATTGATTCCTAATATGCATGTTTCTTTGTTGCATGTTTGTTAATTTATTGTGTGTGTTCGTTTTCTTATCTTTAAAATAGGGATTCGATCCCTGATTATCGTGTCCACGAAGCAGCTGCTGTCTCGAGTGTTCATTAGGGCGCTATTTTCCATTACTTTTCACTGCTATTTAGCTCGAATGATCTTCATCTGAAAATCTTTGGGATTTTTGAGCTAATAATTAAACAGTTAGATTTATTTGATTCTAAGACAATGATTCTCTAACATCCACTCTTTTTATTATTTTAGTGGAGTCCCACAATTCTTGTTTTTTACTACCAATATTCAGGGTTGGCCTTGAATTTCGCGTTCAAATGCCGTTTCCTGAACGTAAATTTTAGATTTATTTGATTTTAAAGCAATTGTTCTCTAATATAGACTTTATATTATTAATGGAGATCCGTAATTTTTGTTTTGTACTAGTGTTCAATGTTGGTTTTGAATTTTGCGTTCAAATCCCGTTTCCTGAACATAAATTCAATCGCACACGCGTTTAAAAATGCATTCCTCACTAACTATGTTTATTTTCTAACGTTTATTCTCATCACAGATTGATGATCAATAAAGTCGAGCAACATCAAGATTGAGTTTTATTGTAATATTAGAAATCTTTTGTACCTCAAAGGCAGCGATCATCGCTGTAGGGACCATCACAACCCCTGGGACCTTGAGTGTGATAAATTTATAATTAAATAGTTTTAAAATGTAATTTCAGTGTTATTATCTCGTACCAAACCTCAGTAAATTATTGTTTAGCTATTCAAAATAATCCATCTTCAAGATATTTTTCTGTTAAATTACACAGAGCTAATTTTTCCAGGTATTAATATAAATCTTTTAATATGTGAAACCCAACCTAAACTGGTACCTTTTAAGCATTTCAAATAAATGAAGTATCTCGATGCCACTGCTTCAAACAAGTTAGTTCAACAGATGCATTTACAAGAGTCTCGAATATATAAATTCTTCCGCATTTGCATTTACAAGAAGAGTAAGAGAGAATCGTTTATAAGAGAATTTGCATTTACAAGCGTCTCAAATTTTTAAACTTACCATTCTGTTGGTATAACTTATTAGGACAGTAGGTAGAGAGAGAGAGAGAGAGAGAGGCTTGTAGTTCCATCCACGGATGTTGACAAACCACTGAAGTTTACCGCTGCTGTCAGTGGTCAGCCGGACTGACAGCTATCAGCTATCACAAGCGACGAATGCACGGGATTTTTAGTTTATACGATTTCAATTTTCAATATTAATCTGCTTTAGATGACCGTAGCTGAACTTCATCTACTGAGCATTTGTTATGCTCGTGTTGTCAGATGGTCGCATATACATTATACAATATTGATTTTGGTATATTTCAATTAGCAACGCCCGAAAATATTTTATTATAACATTTTTGTGACTTTTTTTCATTTATATTACATTTTAAAATACGGACGGATCTGACTGCTAATTTTGTAATAAGATTTCACTTTTCACAATTATATTAACAAAAGTATAATCGTCCTGTAATAATCGCATCAGAGGATCTTTAACTGAAGGATTGTTGTAGAGCTGTTTACCCTGTATTTGAACTCTAAAGGGTTAACTCAATCTAAAGGGGTTTTGAGTATTGATATTTGCAAGAATTTTGAATAAAGATTCCACTTTTGATTTTAATGTCTCAGACCATTGTCCGTTGAAATGAATTTTCTTTTCAGATCAGACCTTCACTTGCTGAAAGAAATTAAAGCAATGTTGAGTCGAACGAATGTCATCCTTCATAGATTTTGCTCGAGTAGTTCCGTATTCAAGCCTGTGGCATTCAAATATAAAAAAGCGGCGGCCGCCTTACCGGCAGAAACTACCGTCCGAAAAAACAACCATCACTCGCCCATAAAGCGGAGAAACTCTGGCGAATACGAACCTAAACTTGATGACCTGGCACAGCCAATCACTGTAATCAGTAGCCCTGTTCCTAGATCTGTACCTAGCAACATCGAGCGACGACCTAAAACTTATGGGTTTAATCATAATAGGAAACACGATTTTGTGCCAAGAAGGCAAGGTCTTGAAGAGCATCAGAGATCTGACGATTCGGCTGAATTTCGTCCTCCGACCAAACGAAATTATGGGCCTCAGAATACCAAGCCTAATTCAGAATACCAAACGAATTTTTCTGGAAGATTTGAACGTCCGAGTAAATGGACAGAACATGAAAAATTTTTCAAACCTAGAAAAAATTATGGCAGGCGCTTACCTAATGATGGAGAAGTCGAATCAGAAGAAGATGCGCTCGCACTACGAGAGTTTGGCGACAAGGAACATCTTTTCGGAATTCATCCAGTCCTACTTGCCCTCAAGGCAGGGAAGAGGGAAATATTTCGAGTTTATTGTAAGAAAGATCTAGAAATTACTAACCGCCTTGTCGGTGAGATTCACAGACTTGCTACGGAGCGCGGAATTGAGTTCATTTCGGTGGAAGGAAAAGTTTTCAAGCGCGTTTTTGACAAAGGGACTGTTCATCAAGGGGTGTTTTGCTTCTCAGGCCTATTGCCAGTCGACGTCTTTGACATTGAAGAACTTCTTGGTGCGACAGAGGAAAATTGTACCTCTGATTCTTTCAATTCTCTTTCAGAATTACCGGATGTGAACACAACATTTCGGAATGTGGTAAGAAACACGTCAACAAACCAATATGAAGAACATACGGACCTTAAAACAAGCAACATTACAAATGAAGACCACACGAAAGTCACAAAGGAAGAAGAATCTATTAAAATGAATTATCTAAATGCAGAGGTAGAAGTCGAGGATGGAGTGAACCGGGATCTTAAATCCAAACACACTTGGGAGCATGATCAATACTCTACCTATGCTCAACCAACTGTTTTGAAAGACGAAAAATCAGAAATTTCTTCTGAGAAGCACTCAACGACTGATTTAAAATGTGTGGAAACGCAAAATGCATCTGAAGAAAATCCAGCAACCATTTTGAATGCTGACAAACGAGAAAATGCATCTGACGATTACGTAGGTCCTATTTCGAAAGCCGAAGAAATGGAAAATGCATGTGACGATCATTGCAGCAGGAGTTTGCAGAGACCGCGGCCCGTAGCACAGAAGAGGCTGTGGGTTGTGCTGGACCAGGTGGTTGACCCCATGAATGTAGGGGCGGTTCTTAGGTCCTGCTGCTACTTCGGCGTGTCCAGGGTCCTTGTCACGCCGTCCTCGTGAGTAAAATATGATTAACTTTTGCTTATATGTGGAATATTATTGTTTAAAAACTCGAATATGTGTGAGAACTCTTCAAAACTTTTATTGTATGGTCAGACACAATATACAAATATAATCTGAAATTTTTAATTAATTAGGTACAAGACTGATCTTGTGTAAACTACACCTGCAGGCATTTATATTATTAACTTAAGATTAACCTTTCAATATTTCTTTCTTTTGACAGGGCGGAACTGAATCCAGTGGTGAGCAAAGCCAGCTCCGGAGCTGCGGAATTATTACACATCAGTTTCCTGCCGCGTCCTTCTGTACAATTAAAGCAACTCAAAGAACAAAACTGGCACATCGTTGCTACAGCGCCTGCTACGGAACATAAAACCGCACGGTCTACGGATAAAAATAACGGGGATAAATCACAGCACTTAGACTCCTTTGACGCAGAGAACTTTGCCTCTAGTGAAGCATTAAGGAAGGTTGATGCCGGATATGAACATCAAAATCTTAGAGAGAATCAAATGCGTCTTGATGTTGGGGACTTTGTTTTCGACCGCGACACGGTTCTCATCGTCGGTAGGTGGCGTAAGGATATTCTCTGTTCAATATGTTTTTGATGTCTGCAAAATTTTAGGTATTTATATTTCGGGCAGATTTAATCCAACTTAAATTGCATGATGTAGCATTTCATTGCACTAATCGTATTAACGGCGTAATTATAGTTGGGCTGTGCCAATTATTAGATTATATTCAAGTATATCTAATTTGCAACATATGCTAATAGATAAATTAAGTAGTAATTTTTCTTCCTAGTTCTATAATCCTAAAACTTAATTGTAATAAAGCCAAAACAATAAATTGCATTGTTTTTCTATCAGGGAACGAAGGTTCAGGCGTGCGTTCGTCCGTATCCGCGATCGCGGAAACTCTGCTGACGGTGCCTGCTCCGCGCGGCGCTGACGCGGCGCTGCAAGTGCCTTGTCTAAACGTCTCCACCGCAACGGCCGTCATCCTGCACGCCATCACTTCTTCTGCCACGCCTTGATCTTTGAGTAAAAGAATTTCGCAAATTTCTGGCTTTTTGATTTGTTTTTTTTTTCGGGCAGGGTGGCCCAGTGGTTAAAGTTCAGAGTACCAAGATTGGAGCAGAGAGGCGCGGGTTCGATCCCAGCTCTGTGCGGCAGTTTCTGGTCAGAATCGGCGAGGAGGCCGGGCGGTTAAGCGCAGCAGAATTGCAGCAGTGAGTTGCGCGTTTGAGACCGCAACAAGCTGTGAACGTTCTGCGATGTTAAGAATCGGCGACAGGCCTACGGCCTACTGAACGCTGAAACCGCTTTTATTATTATTTATTATAATCCTTTAAATACGGGTGTATTCTTTACCTTAAATCTAATGCAAACCTGAAGAGTTGCCGTCAGAATGAGTGTTAGCGTCAGTAGACAAAGGTTAAACTTCTGTCTTTAATTAATTTTTATTTAGTAAATTTTAGTGAAATAATTTAATTCAGTCGGGAGACTTTGAAACTCCTTAAAGGTGACCCATTGTATATACTGATGCATCAACAGTTCAATGCTATTTGTACCTGAAGGTCTGGTAACGAAAGTTCTCGTCAGCGAAGAGTTGACGTGTTGGGGATGTTAAAGAAATACAAGAAGGAAACGCTATATAAATACCAAATACATAATGGCTATATCTTCATACCATGTGATATTTTGATTGTATCGTTGTGTTAGCTTAAGTTTTACAAAGATTGATTGTTTAAAGTTACCAATAACAGATCTGGTTTACTTTCATAAAAATTGAAGCGGGAAGTTTTCTTCCATTCTTTTCTTGGTCCCGGGGGTAGAGAATTCAAGTCCACGAGCAAGATGATTTTAGAATTTTAATCCAAAAAAGGTGCACATGATTGCTTATTCTGATGGATCCTTATAAAATAAATGATATGGTTGGATTTATTACCATAGCATTTGTTTTTTCTACCATATGAAACAGACTGTGTAAACCCATCGATCAATTACTTGCAATAGTCCATTAACTTGATAGGTCCGATTGTGACCGTGGCAATCGGCACAAGTTTGTTTTTTTCTTGACAATAATACCAGATTATGTGATTGACTACTACTGAATAAAAACATATTAGCCACAGAAACTGTCATCATAATGGACTTAAGACATCGTCTTATCTGAAATAAGTTAAACCAAATCTGAAGCCAGTTCAACCTTCATCTATAGGACCTAAAGAATTGTCTCAATAAAAAAAATTATGTTCAGTTTATCCGGTGTGAAGGCAGCAGGCAGAAATTTCATCAGGGCAGGCTAGAAAATAGCTAAATATTCAATTCATCTTGGGTGAAGGCAGCGACTGCAAACCTAACAATTAGCCTAAACATAACTAAATATTCAATTTATCCGGGGTGAAGGCTACGACTTCAGACCTAAGAAATACCTAGCCCAAATATAACTAAATATTCAATTTATCCGGCGTGAAGGCTGCAGGCAGAAGTTTCTTCATGGTCGTCTTGATATACTTGCCGGACATCTGGGCGAGGTAAACTTCCATGTCCATTGAAAATTCCGCCAGCACTTGCCGGCAGGCGCCGCAGGGCGTGCCGAAGTCGTCGCCGACGTCCGTAACCACCGCGATTGCGCTGGAAATATTTACGAAAATTGTTATAAATTTAATTGTTGCAGTTTTGATGGCTAATTTAGTGTGGAATGACATTTTTTTGTAAAATGACATTCCGAAATGTCTCCCTTTGGAGATATTTCGCCTTGTAGAAGCGAAGTTTGATTTTCAATTTCGGGAATTTTAGACGATCGAGACTCTACATTTTGTTAGCGATGCTTATTTTGGTTTGTGGTGCTAAATAAATCAATATCAGATGCATTATTACATCTCGTATCCAATGCATGTATGCTACTGCTCTTCTAAATTCATAGTCTCTCAATGTAGGTTCAGTGCCACTCAAATTTTATAAAACATATAGGTAATTCTTTCGAATTCAATTTTCATAATATCTTTCACTAATATCTGACAACGTTTTTATCTTTACGCATACTTCCGCTGATAGCTTTCACTTGGATGTGTACCCTCTACCGCCTGACATGAGTAACCAGAGCAATATTGTCACAAGCCTACTTCCCAAAAAGGATAGGTTCTAGTGAGCGCAAAATGACTTGCGCTGATGGTTGCCGCCACGTACGACAACTTTAAAATGTTCTCTGTTGCGTACAAACGTCCTCAGGTTGCTACACTCAATAGTTTACATACGTATAATTTAAGTTGAAAGTTATGTTTCCGGAGAGTGGCATACGGCGGTAGAGGGTTTAGGGGTAGAGAAAAGTTAATACCACACACAAGGTGAACAATAATCAAAATACTATGAGTAAATCTTTCTCCGTGCAATGGCCGATTGATTCGTACCGACGTGCAAGGCTCGCGCTAGGGCAAACAAACCGGTGTTCGAATCCGAATTTTGGATAGAATTTCATGGTGAAATTTTCTCAATTTTTTTTGACGAATACCAATTGGGTTGACTTATAAACCGTTTGAAAACTTATTTACCGGAACGCCAAGCGCCGTACTATTCTGTAACTAACATATCCCCTGAAAAATTTATAAATTACCCCCGAGGTGTAATTGACTCCCATTTTTTCGAGGAAGTAAGTTGGGGGATAATAATTATTTATTTATAAATAAATGTTCGTTGCTCTCTTCATGATGTAAAATGAAAAGATAAAACTTCTCACTCGGGATCCCGAGAATATCGACCGCTTGTCCCGGCTGAGAAGTTCGCGTGCCTCGAACTTCTTTCCGTGACCTCGACCATTGACTTATCATCAACATTACTGACCATCATCATCGCTCATATATCATCATGCACAGTCAACATCATGCGTTCCCTCATCATTTTTGTGATTGTTTTGTTGAGGCCTCCGTTATATATTGGAACGTACTCCAAAATTTCGTTTGCTGATCTATTGGCCACAATATATGCCTACACAATATGCATTTTTGAATAGGGCCGCTTGTCACGCAAATTTTTGAAGCATTCTATCTAACTTTGTGTATAAGTAACTAACTGTTAATTTGAAGTGATTGCCAGTAGAGCTGTTAATTTGAAGAAACACTCGCTTAACCAACTGTTTGCCCAACTTTATAGTTAGCAGCTTCTTCTGAACCTTTTTTCCCCATTTTTGTCTACGGATAAATTGATCGTCATTCATGCTATACGTACTTCAATGCCAGTTTACGAGATTTGCGGTCAGTAGACTTAGGGATAACCCTTTCAGAGAGGTTTTTAAATTGTAGTCAAATGGGGTTACATAATTGACAAGGGAGCAATATAGTAAAGAATGGATATAACAGTAACCAAACGAAGCAAACGGAGTTGAACAGTAAACAAAAGAGAGTTCATTTTAAAGTTGGCACATGTTAACAAATTCAGCTTAACGTCGCCCTCCTGACCTGAAGTGCCGGTGCCCCTGGACCACCGCCGCGCATATGGCCGACCTCTCCCCGCAGATGGTGAGACCGTAGGACGCGTTCTCCACGTTAGCGCCCTGCACGATGTTACCGTCCTCCGTCAGCAGCGCCGCACCTACGGCGAACTTGCTGTAGGGACAGTGAGCTCTCTGCCGCGCCTCTTTGGCCGCCCCCACCAGCCTCTCGATCTCCTCTTCTGAAGGTTAAATCACATTTAGAATAGAATAGAAGTGACGGCACTGAAGAAATAGGCCCATGGCCTGTTGCCGATTCTTGAATTTTTCGTGACTTGATTCACAAGGGATCCGGCCTTTGGAACCCGATCTTTCCATAACTGACGATTGATTGAGATGGCTGCTGGACTTATTTGAGTTATGTAATTTTCAATATTTATAGGGTCAAAGGTCAGGTATGAGTTAACAAAGTTTGGTAGTTTTATTAGGTTTAAACTCAGGTATAAGTTACCACAAAGTTTAAACTTGTACAGAGTTCAACGCTATCGCATTGAATTTTGTAAGATTGTAAGGTTAAGGTTGAAGTAGCTTTTCCCTTCAACTTTGAAATGAAAAGGCTGAAGTTATGTAAGATTCAAACTCGAGAATGAATTTCAGTATCCGAAGTTTGAGAGTTATAAAACTCAAATATGAGTTTTCGAAATTTAAAAATTTTATGAGGTTTAAGTTTCTTGATCGCCGAAGATTGGCAAGCTTGAAATTGATTATTGATTGAAGCTTTGGTGTTTGTAGTGTATGGTTCAGATTTGTCGAATTTGACAAAGGCTGAAGCTTCAATATATTTTTTAATGCGTTCTTTGCATGACCGACGGTTCGATTATTGTTTTAACTATAATGCGAAAGTGATATTTTAGACTTCCTTCAGTACTCTCCAGATCATTGATGGATTTATCTTCAGTGTATTGTTTTAATTATAATGCGAAAGTGATGATTTGGACTCACTTCAGTACTCTTCCGATCATAGATGGATTCAGCTTCAGTATTATTATGCCTATAACGCCTATATAGCTTCGCTGTAAAGAATGCAAGACGTTCGACGACTGCTGCGTGTCACGGGCTCTTAATTAAGATTGTCTGTTGACAAGAAATTAGAGAAGGTGACCTCAGAATGAATATTTAAGTGATTTGAACAGGTGATTTGGAAATAACATCTTAGGAGTGACTTATTTATGAATGTGTTTTGAATGTAATTAGGAGGTGCGTGCCTTCAAGTGGCTACAGTTAAGTAAGATAATTAAAGAAATTATAATTCTCCTGGCGCAAGAAAAACAAGAAAAATGGCTGGTAATATATCGAAAAATCATAGTTGAAAAAGTTTAAATTGTCTTTAAAATTATTAAAATTAAAAATTAATTCTCTTCTTTAAAAATTATTAAAGAAATTCGTCTTTAAAATTATTGTTTTCACTTATCGCAAAAGAGTAACGAATTATTTACTTATATTTTCTATTATATTCACTATCTATTTTTTCGATACTTTCTTTAAAAATAACGCCAAATCTAGACTTCAGTTTGAATCTTTTTAAGTTGAAAACAATTCGTGGAATTATCGTCTTCTAATTATAAACGATGAGGCTTAATAATCTTGAACATGTTTTTATATTGTCTTTAGCTATTATATTGCATGCAAATATTCTCTTGCATTTGAATTTTATATTGCACTGAGATATTATGTTGCATGTAAATATTCTATTTCATTCAAATTTAATATTGCATTTAGATATTATACTGCCTGTAAATATTCTATTGTATTTAAACTTCATATTGCATTTAGTTTTTATACTGCCTATAAATATTATATTGCATTTAAACTTGGTATTGTATTTAAATATTATATTACATGTAAACTCTATATTATTTCACCTGTGAGTTTCTTGTTAGCGTCAACGATGGCAGCGAGCGCTGCACCGGCAGCGGTCACTTGCTTCGACATCCTGTGGCAGACACGAGATATTGTGCTTCATTGTCGCTATATTTATTATTTTATTTAGTTATTGCCTCTGTTTATTCATTGACACTAAGTTATTCACCCTTCTCATCACACTAATTATTATTCTTATAACCATTTTTATTCTTACTTATCCTTTTAATGCCGTAACATGTTGACGCAACGGCTTTAAATTAACATGTTATTCATCGCCCACAATATTACTAGAATGTTAATTAGGAAGTAAGACATTCTGATATCTCTCCTGTTATATATATCTATTTATATTATATTGACCGCCATATGGTTGGCCATCAGTGGCCGATGTTAATCCTGTGATAATTTCAACTGATGGTAACGATCCATCGCCGTTACTGCTTAGAATTCTCTTTCAAATGTAATTATTGTGCATTAAAGTATCATACAGATGTAATTAATGAATTATTGTGCATTTAAAGTATCATACAGATGTAATTATTGAATTATTGTGCATGTAAAGTATTCATGCAAGATACCAGTATATATTTTCCGTGCAATAAGCTAGGGTGCATTAAATTTTTAACTAATTAACTAACTAATCTTTACACATTTATTGAGGCAGTAATGCCCAGAACAATGGAATACTCCATTTTACACTCCGAAAAATGAACGGGTCGTATTATCCAAATATATTCTGTGTATATGTAACAATAATACGTCAGTTTGTCGGGCCAAACTGAGTCACAGAAGCAAAAAATACATCGATATTTGGACAAATCCCAATCATTTCTCTAAGTGTAGGCATTTGAAACTTTTTTTATCTCTAATATAAATATTAAACCTGGTGCTTATCTTGTATATTTTTTTAGCGCCGTTGCTGTTGTTTTATTTAAATCATGAGACAATCTCGACAAGATTGCGATAAGATTGTGTGTTAACTTCCTTACGTGCAGATTAAGTTTTTCTGAGAATCCGCGAACCTTCAATCAGTTTTTTTATTTGTTCATATTTTAGATCATGACGTCAGACTTCAAATGTACGACTTGATATGATTATAAAATGTATAAAATATATAAAATATATAACCGACCAACAATATAATGCATGGAAGTTGGGGTAAATGTAACCAGGACCCATTCTCATCTAGCAAAATATATATAAATCAAATATATTTCGAAATATATTTTTTGCATATATACAACTATTTTAAATATTTTTAAGATAATTATTTAGGTGAATATTAAAATTATATAATAATATTCATATTATAATAATAGAAATAATAACAATAAGAATATAATATTTACCTGTCCTTAATGGCAGCTAAATAATTAACAATGGAAAATTATTGGAAAAATTCTCTATAGAATTTCCCTGCTGAAAACATTGGTTTCATTTTACGATATAATTTTCCACAAAAATTCCCGTTGCTAGAAATTTGCTTTGTGAAATTCGCGCAATATTTAAATTGCAAATAAATTAGTACAAATCGCGCATGTTATTACGGAACCTTCGATATGGTCGTTATATAGTTTGGTATAAATACTATATACACTTTTTAGTTTTTAGTATATACAAAAATATTCCTATATACAAAAATGGTTTTAAATGTCCGTCATATGGCTGCGGTACTCGAATCAAGCATCAATCAAGGTACTCGAATTGTAATTTTAGCATTGATATTAGATTCTCTCAATAATATCATTCTCAATAGCCAACAGTACATTTCAGTTCCCAAAAATTGTATTCTCGAAATTTCTAAAAATTGTGAATTATTTGTATTTTCTAATAGTACGACGACTCATTAATTATCTTGTTTTGCCAGATTACTTTCATTAGTATTCTACTAATTCTGTATTTTTCTCTACAGTTAATAGTGATTCAATAATATTTATTATTATTAATTATTAGTAATAATTATAATGTAACAATCATATTAATAACCATATGATAGTATAATAATAATTATAATTAATGATGATAATTAATAAGGAGTTTTTCAAACCTAAATTTCAGACGAAACTCGAGATGAAGAACGACAGCGGCCGCCTTGACTAGAACGAAGTCAGTCCTGAACTGAGGGCCCTGTAGCCACACAGCCTCTTGCAAGCTAAGAGGCTAGTGGTACCGCTTGCATGCTAAGAGGCTACCGGGCCTCTTGCATGCTAAGAGGCTAGTGGTACCGCTTGCATGCTAAGAGGCTACCGGGCCTCTTGCATGCTAAGAGGCTACCGAGCCTCTTGCATGCTAAGAGGCTACCGGGCCGCTTGCATGCTAAGAGGCTACCGGGCCGCTTGCATGCTAAGAGGCTACCGGGCCGCTTGCATGCTAAGAGGGTACCACGGCCGATTGCATGCTAAGAGGATACCGCCACAGAGGCTTGGTATGCACCGCTGCATGCTAACAAAATAAAGTCTTCCTATATAATCCAACATGCTGACTTCCATTATATAACTCGGATAATATCATGTAACTATATGGACCGCTGTCTGTTCTTATATCGCATGCTGACGACAAACTCCTATAAATATAACGTCTCATATAATATCATGTAACTTTATGAACCGATGTCTCTTCTTATAAAGCATGCTCACGACAAACTCCTATAAATATAACGCATCATATCATATCATGTAACTGTATGAACCCATGTCTGTTCTTATATCGCATGCTGACGACAAAGTCCTATAAACATGTCTCATATAATATCATGTAACTATATGGACCGATGTCTGTTCTTATAAAGCATGCTCACGACAAAGTCCTATAAACATGTCTCATATAATATCATGCAACTATATGAACCCATGTCTGTTCTTATAAAGCATGCTCACGACACTATAAATATAAGTAAAAGCAACTTGTAGCAGTTTTTAGCTCTGACGCGCAGTGTTCATTTGTATCCACGTCAAGAGTTCAGGCTCGTTATCTTCGCACTTCTCTGCCACAGAATTAATCTTAGTTTGATTTAAAAGATGATGGATGACTCAGAGACCAAGCTTATGGTTTAAAATCGTCATTAAGTTAGGGTTTCACATTTTGTTACTATTTTTGTTTTACGCTTGGTTAAAAGAAATTCTTAATCGGGGTAAATTATCAAAAGTCCTTACAAAATCAACCGTTTCAGGTAACCTATTCAAATTCTGTTAGACTTATCAGGTCTCATCGTGTCCAATATTATATTATTAGTGCAATATTATATAAATAAATTTAATCTTTCAAGCCGAAAATACTTGGTAGCTTTTTGCAGGCCAAAGGATTGAAGGAAAGAGCGACCAGATTCCCACTTGTTATTCACAATACAACTCCTGGGCCGAGTTTGGAGCTACAAGGAACCATGGTTGAATTAATACAAGGATTATTTTGTATTAGTTTCAGTTCAACCATGCAAGGAACATCTTTGATGTAAACAAACAAAAAATAACAGCAATGAATCGAATACAAATCTACATTTAAAGAATAAAATCTGTCCGTTTATTCAATGAAAATGTTCTACGTTTTAAGATAAGTGGCTGCGTTCACAATAAACGTTCTATTCATTACATTAATACCTGCAAGAATGTTAAGCTTTGGTTGCTCAATCTCATAATGTGGACATGTGCATAGCGCGCATTTTCCAGCCTCTACAATTCATCAAAGTCAATACACATAATGTCAGGCCTTTGTTTAATCATATTTTGATTTTTGTTACATTTCTTTGTTTTCGGATTTTTTTATTTAGATTTTGAAAATTACTATGACCACGCTCGTTGCCCAGGACAATTTGTAATACTTGTATCATAATCACTCTTTTTATCTAGTCGCGCATACATATAGATAGAATTTCCAATAAACATTTTTATTAATATATATACTACTTGGCTATTAACGCCAATATTCATGTAGCTTTGGTAACAATCACGTCATTTAAAAGGATATTACAGCGATACAATATTTTATGCAGATGTTATCACTACGAAGAAGCTGTTATCAATTTTTGGCAGCCCTTAGAGCGAACTCCTGCAGGCCTTTTTGCACAACAGCTTTGTTGACACCGACGTGTTCATCAATTCGTATCATCAGGACGCCGATTTTCTTCATGTCGTACCCGTTGCGCGGTTCATCATCGAAAAACAACATCTCGTCGTAATTCAAGCCAGAGTTATTTCTCAGTCTGAAAAACATAAATCATGAGAAGTTTTTTTTACAGTGGCATGTACCGTAAATCAGACTTGAATTATGTAAATTATAGAGAACCAATCTGCTGAAATGGCGCTTGTGTCTCGGGATTAATGTGATATCAAGTTACATTAATAATATTTATCTGCTTATGCAATCTAATTCAATATTCAAAATTATCTACATCGAATCTTGGATAACTTTTAATGTTAAACGTTTTAAAGTCATCTAGAGCCGTGACCAAAATTTGATGTTAACTGCAAGGTAATCTACATAAAGTCGAATTCTCCAGGTAAATGACGTTGAAAACAACGTTGATCACAAGTCGTTTAAAAAAACGTTGATTACTAGTCGTTTGAACAACGTTTAATCTACGTTATTTCGACACCAGATGATTGTTGAGAACCAACCTTCAATGTTAAGCTGCAAGATGTTACTTTAAGTAATGTTAAATTTCACGGTCATCTACTTCAAGCCATGACCCACTTTTACTCAAGTCATGACCCACTTTCACTCAAGTCATGACCTACTTTTACTTAAGTCATGACCCACTTTTACTCAAGTCATAACCCACTTTTACTCAAGTCNAAGTCATGACCCACTTTTACTCAAGTCATGACCCACTTTTACTCAAGTCATGACCCACTTTTACACTCAAGTCATGACCCACTTTTACTTAAGTCATGACCTACTTTTACTTAAGTCATGACCCACTTTTACTCAAGTCATAACCTACTTTTACTTAAGGCATGACCCACTTTTACTCAAGTCATGACCCACTTTTACTCAAATCATAACCCACTTTTACTCAAGCCATGACCCACTTCTTGAAATGATTGATCTTGCAGCCCGGATATATCTCCTTATAAGAGAAGAACTTGTCCCAGCCGAAGAGCCTAATGAGCTGATTAGCTCCCTGCACCTCCCCAGTCCTAGAGGCCACCCCCAGCAGGTAGCCCTGAGCGTGCAGGTCCTCCAGCACCTCCGGCACCTCAGGGTAATGCTTCACAAGCTGGCCCCTCGCGTCCCGCACCTCACCCTTGCTGCACACACATCACTAAATATGTCTACTACTATATTTACAAATATATAATTACAAATCACTTTATAAGTACATATTTATTAATAAAGTATTTTTATAATTATTAATAATTCACAATAATTCATATTTGATAATGATGAACATATTTCTTATTAAATTGTAAAAATTATTAATAATTCACAATAATTCAAACGTGATATTCATTAAATGCCACGCATTTTATAATTTTTTAACTTTATACAGCAAAAAAATGAGGTTTTAAACTGGTACAGAAAGATAAATCCAGCTGACCAGCAACAGCCGTGAGACAAATTAATATCAGTCGAATCAATGGAATACTTTGATATTTCCGTTAAGAAATCTGTTTGTTGCGGCTTGATAACGCGAAATAATTATGTGGATTATCATTAGTCTTACGATAATAATAATTACCATCATCACTACAGATCTGTTCTTGACTCAGACCAATGAGGAGAGTATCATCACTACAGACCAGTGAGAGGAGTATCATCACTACAGACCAGTGAGAGGAGTATCATCACTACAGACCAGTGAGAGGAGTATCATCACTACAGACCAGTGAGAGGAGTATCATCACTACAGACCAGTGAGAGGAGTATCATCACTACAGACCAGTGAGAGGAGTATCATCACTACAGACCAGTGAGAGGAGTATCATCACTACAGACCAGTGAGAGGAGTATCATCACTACAGACCTGTTCTTCGAGAAGGGTGGATCTATGTGCGTGTCGCACCAATACGGCCACAGCGTGTAGTCTGCAATAACATATTAGACTCTAATTAAACCTACTCAAAAATTAAATTAATTCAAGAAGCTTGGGTAAAAATTATATCTGTTTTGCATTTATAAGAGCGAATCAATAATTTCATATTTCTAGGTCCGGAAAGTTTTTATACAGAATTGAAGAGGAAGCATCAAAACTTGTAAACAAAAAAAAATTCTGAGAAGCTGCGTTCACGCTCGAGCAGCACTAAGCTGATAAAAGATATGATATATGAGAAAAATATGAATATCTTACAAACGAGGACTTACCTAAGTCGAAGACGATGAGTTTAGGTTTGGCAGCTGCCATGTAAACCGAATATTCTTGTGACAATCAAGCAATTCAAGGATATAAAAGCCTGCTCATGCGAATTTATAGGACAATTGACTTATTTTGTTTTTTTTTTTTTATGAAAGATAGTGAGGAAATTAATTCTCGCAGCACAGCTGTTTTTGTTGAATGACATTAAATTCGTTGGGCTAGAAGAATTTATAAGATCTTTCAGGCTATGAGCTTTCATTGACAAATTGATTTCAATTAGGATACAGTAACTGCGGCCCATGGCCAAAATAATCAACAAATCGTACCTTCTCAAAATGTGTTCAGAACCTTAATACGGGCAAATAACTTCGAAGTGTGGAAGAAATGCGAGAACTTATAAGCGAGGCCTTCATAAATCATGGAGCAACGTTCCGGCGAGTAATGCCTTGTTCGAGAATGCACGCTTCAGGAATGGAGAGATTCTGTCCACGTTTCAATCAGCCGATGCCCACAAAGTTAGTGGTTCCCATCTTCTTCAATTCAAAGAACTCCAATAGGCTTTTTGCCTTCTTTACAACTATTTTCTACGTTATGTTCTTTCATAAATGATATTAAGTCCATACAGTAATGCTTCGAGTACCCCGAAAAATTGATAAGTTATGCTGCTTTAATGTATCTTTATTTTACAACTATTGTCTGCGTTTTGTGTTCATAAATGATTTCAAGACCATACAGTGATGCTTCGGTCACCCCAGTAAATAAATAATTTATTCTGCTATAAAATATCTTTATTTTCCTGTTCTAAATGAAGCGACAGGGTCCGGGGGAGGCGCTACGTTCCCCTAGCAGAAGTCACACTCCAGCTCCTTGCGGTTCACCCCTACTCTTCCTATCAAAAATAATCATTCAAACTGAGCACCTAAATCTTGTACAAATGTAGGCATTTTCTTTATAATATACAGTAGGAACGATTTTCCGAACACAGTCATGATAATCAAACAATAGTTAAGTGCGTATTCTATTGAAAACGTTAATTTTTCAGACTGAATTGCCATGGAATAGGGTTAATAAAAATAATGATACAAATATCTCAGTTTAATTCCTGCCCGAGAGCAAACAGGGACCAAGAGTCTCGCTAGAAATAACGTTGGCAATGCAACGGCGCGTGTTCTTGCAAAACAGATAATAACTTATTAATTGCCGAGTTGCTCAAGGCAGATTCTTAATCTCATCTATGGCGAATGTTCTGGCGTCTTATAAATTCAACCTTAATATATTGGAATTTTATTCGCAAGTGATCGCAAGCCTAGATTCACTTCTTTCAGTTCAGATACCGTTTTTTAAAGTCTATATTATCATATTTTAAGAACTCAAAATTACCTAATGACAATTTTAATACATCACAATTTAGTGCCTATGTACATATTTCCAAGCGCAAAGAGAAAGTATTAGCTAATACGTTTTTTTCACATGTGTAAGCATATATATACTGTTGTAAATTAATAAATCAAGTATCTACCAGGAATTCCAAATAAAATAAATGCAAAGAAATTGTATTCCATCGAAACTTCTTCAAAATTCCGAAGTGCTTCTGTCTTTTGGAATTATCTAATGCTTAGAGTGAACAAGATTTGAAAAAAAAATTCATGTCATTTCATTAAAAATAAACAAAAAAAAGTTCAGTTACACAAATACAAATTATTTTGATGAACCTGGGTATCCAAGAAGCAATTTACCATCTCCGATTGTTCTTGAGGAAAACTACAGCAAGTTTTCCCCACTCACATTCATAATCAATGAAAATATGCTCAGTTACTCCTGATTCCAAGCGCTTGCTCTAACTCGGCGCGCTTCTGTTGGATCTTGGTGTAGAAATATCTATTGACGGCTTCTCCAGTCCAGGGCTGGTAATAATACTGAGCTCTTCGTTCCTCTTCAGGACACCCAACGACGTCCGTCATTTGTTTCAGGTCCCTGTTCTGAGACAAGAGCCACTTGTGCATGAAATGCTGAGGATCTTTGGCGAAACTGAGGTAAAATTCGCGGTTTGTTTTAAGCGAGTTGATCGTCTCGACGGTCTCGTGGATCTTGCTGTCCAAGTTTTGGATGTCCTGTTGGCTGTTGGTGCTCAACAGGAAGTTGCTCATTTGGTTCTGCAAATGGAATAACCCGATAAATGAGGAAACACATTTCATTAATGATGATTAAAATTAAAAAATTTGAAAAATAAAATAGTAAAATCAGCAAGACTAAAATTACGATATAGGTGATATAACTGCACTAGGAGAAGTTGCGTTTGAAGAATGTTAAAATGAAAACAGAAGCAGTTGATATGTTTGTAAATTAATATTCAATCCTTCACGATGAATTACTGAGATCTGTCAAGTTAAATTTTCTAATGAAAAATAAAAAATATTCTAAGACCAACAATAATCCAAATAAACTTTAATCATCTGAAAGCTAACAAAAGTTAATTAGCATGAGATTATTAATTGAGGTGATTAATTACCTTGAGGTTATCATCAACTTCAACATCAATGTCATAGCAGGAAGTTTTCTTCTGTTCAGGCCCCTCGACGGTGATGACGTGCGAGATCATGATGGGGTCGGGGGGGAAGAGGAGCTGGTTCAGGCGTCCGGGGATCTCAGCAAACTTCATGCGAGGCAAATTGAAAATCTGAAAAAATCAAGTTGGTGAAAACTTTGCACGGTTATTGCATGTTTAGCAACCATGATTCCTAGCTAATTTTCAGGGCACTTTTTTTACCGCTAAAGATAAATAGAGGATTTTGTTTGGAATGCAGAAATATGGAATTAAGAGATAGAATATTTAGATATGGAAGGTATAGGTAGAATGTTTTGACTTGTAAGAACTAAGCTCTGGTCTTCAGCAAAACGTGCATAAAAGATATAGATACCTATAAATAACTTTGCAAATTAGTTCGGGTAGTAAACCTCACAGCCTTGCAAAATTCATTGACTCATCATAACAAAATTTATCATAAAAGCCGTTCATCAACATCATAATCGTAGTAATCCATCCATTCACCTGCTCCATGCATTCATCACGCACGCTTCACTCACCTGCTCCAGATATTTATCACAGTTGATGTACTCTCGCTCGTGGGCGTCCTGCAGCTTATGAGTTTTTATGTACTGCCAGAGGGCGGTGATGATGACAGGACGCGTCTGGGTGTGTCGCCCCAGCAGGCGAGACAGGCGAGGATCCAACTTGAACTGGTGGGGCTGGTAGTCCAGCAGCAGCAGGATGGTGCAGCGCACGTTCTTGTCGCCTGGACGTTTCACCTGCAATTTAAACGATTTCATAAGGCTTAGCAACTTTCACAGATACTACAGCAGAAGAGGTTGAACAAGATGTAGTAATGATTCTTCATGAGGCGAGAAAAACTAACAGGAAAATAATTTTAACAGGAGCCTTTGTTTCAATAATAATTTTACTGATGTGTTCGATTCATTTATCAAGTAACTCAATTCTAACAATATGCCAGCCTGGATAAAACAGACAGGAATGGAACTTTAAAAATTTTCCTTAAAAAATTACATAGAAATACGAGTCTACAGCTGACTAAAGGTTAAGTCAGTCTTATCTGATCTTAATTGTTATGAAAGACCATTCAGGTCTGATCCGTCAGCTTCCTCAACCTCAGCCGCTAACGTCTGGCCAAGTCAGCTGGTTTACAACTGAAAATCCTCATTATTTGATACTCACTACCAACTTATAAGAAGTGGTCCCGCACTAGGTACCGCACCGTTAGAGAAATGCAGTTATAATAACAAATTTAACACAATCGTTAAAAAATTATTGTGGAAATTTCAAATGATCAAGAAAAATCTACAAAAAGAACAAATATTACATTAATATCATGTAAAATAAAAAATACAATTGAAAATTATTCGGGATATTATGTGGACCTGCAATTTTATTATTTTAGAGAAAATAAGAAAGGATTTGATCAAAATTTTAAATTTGTCTTTTGTGATTTATAAATTTAAATTTAATTTAAAAGACGCAAAAAAACGTTTTCCATAAATTGAAGCAAGAGTTAAATTGGAGTGTTATTTTCTATACAAGTATAAAATGTATCTACCTACATCAAGGTAAACAAAAAATTACCTGGAAACCATCAGTTTCTTGCGTAGTGGGAGTGCGATGCCACTCAACTAGATGGTTGTCAGGCCCATACAGATCTTTGTCCAGCTCTATCACCAGAGACTTGAAGAAAGATGAGAACTTTCTTTTGCCTTTGCTCGGCTCACTTGGCTGCACACACACAATGGATGAATGCTGATAATTTTAAAATTAATTGAATTTTTCAGTAACAAGTGAAAAATGTGCTTCATAAATCTACAGGCAAGCAAGGTAACTGATGCAATTGTACAAAGTCGAATTATCCACATTACATTCACATCATTTCTCAAGAAAATTGTCTATTATCAATAAACTGTTTTATAACACAAGACGCAGTAACCTCAACTATTGTATCCTCTACTCAGATACAAAATCCTTCCTATCCTCATCAAAAACTCTGTCTGTTACAAGACATATTTAAATTAAAGGAATACTTCATAAAAAATACCCACTTTATTACATTTATTCTGAAACAATCAAATTCTTTTTATATTATATAATATATATACATTAAAGTCCTGAGCTTTTGGGCGAGGAACTTCTAAACTCATGTAAAGCTTCCTGAGAAAATTAGAAGAATAATGATTGACAAGAGAATGATAATAATTACTAACTTTGTTATCCTCAAGCAGTCTACCCTCAACACGAAGCTCCCATGAAGCCACAGTGGCATCATCGCTCGTGCCCTCACCACCTGCAGCGCCGCCCTCGCCCCGGGCCGGATAAAAAGTGTTGGAAATGAAAATCCGCAGCTTTTTCTTCACTTTCATTGGGCGTTTTAAAGCTTCCTGTGAATTGGAGTAAATAATCTAGCTTGGCAACACAAACAATATAAATAGGTATTCAAAACATGATTTTACATCAAGTTTACTGGATGAGTGAAAATTCTAATACAAATTTTTGTGCTGCAAGGTTTTCCCAGGTTCATGAAGATACTAAAAATAAAAACGAAAATTAAATGGCCATACATACAGCCAATATAAAGGGCAACAACACAAAGGAAACAGTCAGGCCAAACCTAACATGACCTGTCCACTTTCAAAGATTTTTTATAAACCATTTCATTTTAAATTCACTAATAAAGTCCAAAATTTTTTCAATATCTATAGGTGTATATGTTAATGCTGGTATCTATGATACTTTACCAGTCAAGTCATACGACTGAAAGAGGAAGCCTAAAAAAAAAGTCTTTGCCTTGCCACTATGATTTTTTGTTCATTTATTTAGGCTCAAAAAACTCACTTGAATATCCAACCTCTTGCGCATGATGGTCGCATCAAGCTTCCTCTCAAAGGCAAGAAGGTCCATGTAAGCTTGTGATTCAGGCACCAAATCCCGAACCTGCAAAAGAATGGAGAATGAATATGAAATCATTCAAGCAGCAGCTACATCAGCAATAAAGAAATGGAACTTTATGAACATTGAGGTGTCTGAAATTTTCTGGAAAATTGTTTTAGTTTACAAAATTTTCTTTAAATTCTAATGAGTAATGAATGAACTGAATGTAAGGAAGATTATAGACAACCAAGTTACTTACTTGAATACCTCAAATGATTTGATTCAATTACAACAAATAGTTTTCCTTACAATAAATTCAAAATTCAATGCTGAGAATCAAAATTTTGAAACTAATAACACAGTTCTGCTAGCTAACATACTTTCTGAGGAAGGATTTTCTCTGCCAATTTCTTCTTCTTTTTAGGGTTGCCAGAGTGAGGGTAGTCCTGGGGGTGAGTGGCTGGAGCAGCACTGCCACTTGTGCCACCTCTGATAATCCAATAAATTTTATTGATTTAGTTAACATACAAGATAAAGGGATAAAGGATTCTATGATGGAATTTACTTCAACCACACAAAGTTGTCATATTAATATTACCTTTACCAAGCATTTTTTCTGTCATTCAATTGTGAAACAGAATTGGGTTATTACCAAATGAAACAGGAAGATTAGAAAATTATTTAGGAAACTGACAAAAGAAAATAGATGACTAGTTGCAGGTAAATATCACTATGAATGACAATTAGACCACCCAGCTGCTATGAAACTTGATAAATTATGAAAATAACAATAAGTTTGTCATTTTGAAAAGATAGGTTGTGAGCAGCTGAATAAAAAATTAGGACAACATATTTCCTGATTTACATTTGGGTATTTTAAATTTTATTCTGAAACACACCCTTTACTCTGGGGTGCAGGTCTTTTCCCGACTGCAGGAGTTGGTGAAGGCTGTCGGGTGAGGTACTGCTGAGGAGGGGGAGGACGAGGATGTGGGGATCCAGCCCCGGCAGTTCCATTGCCTCCAGAAACATTGCTGAAGCTTCCACCACGTCCATGCTAAAAAATATTTTAACCAATCACTAGATAAACTTTTATGACAATAAATTTAGTCTGGCATCATGTCTAATGTTGTAAAAAATTAGCCAGTAGGTATGAAATCTTGAAGCTCTAATGTCAAGTATTTTTGTTTGATCAAAAAAATTGCGGTTTGCACTTTGCAAACATGTCATTTCATAAAATTTTCAACTTCCACAATACACCGTACTTTAATGCTCCAGACAAAATATCCTGCAGAAGGTAATAACAAGTCAACCCAAAACATTCACTCAAAGATCACATGGTTGCAGTCACATCAGAGCAGTCAGACTGCATAATCACTAAAGTGAAGACAAATGTTAGTTTGGATTTGGAGCGTAGTGACACTGAAAAGATCTTCAGATTTCAGGCCTTTGTTTCAGCTAGCTGCCACACGTCACACATTCATTTTAATATTATTTTTTGGCATAAGGAGGGGGAAAAAGAGGAGACAGGTACAAGATTCAAGATATTGAGACAAGATTTAAAGTGCAGTGTTTGTGTAATTATTAGATGCAAGTAATAAGTTGATGAAATAAAAGAAACAAGGAATGGTAAAGGGGAGGGAGAATACTTTCAATTTAAATATGTTGTTTTGTAGGTTATTGCTTGGTCCCATTTATTGCACGATAGTTTTGGACATTAGTCACACAAATCTTATTAGCTCCCAAAAACACTAGATTGTTTCTCCTTACATTTTATTTTTATTATTATTACCATTCTTTTACTTTTTATTGCTCGTTTCATTACACCCTCCTGGCCTCCATTCTCTCCAGCCTCCTCTTCTCCCTCATTTTCCGTGCACCCTCTAAAAAATGCTTACCACTAACCATCATGGTAGTGGTTACCCCTGGTGACAGGCCCACCTGTCTCCAGTTGTAGTGTTGCCGATTGACTGACAGGTTGACTGATTGACACCTGTCACCACCTAGTGTTGCTGATTGACTGTTGTTAGGGTAAAATTAGAGATTTGGGGCAACACATGCAAGGGACTTGGTAAATAAGTTCGCAGCATGTTAATGGCTTTTCAAGGCAGAAGATATGGAATTCATGGCTCAAGAAATGGAATCACAGCTGGCAAATGGTCTTAAAAACCACAGCTTAAAATTCAGTTGTGACTTGCCAAATGGATATATTCCATGCCTGAACTTATGTCTGCCTCTAGTCTAATCAATCTAATTTTAGAAACTGTATTAAAAATTATTTTATTCCAACCCCTTTGCAGTCTTTTATTACTGAGATAGAAATAACTTAATGGTTTTATTGTTTATACTTTTATAGAACTCAATATTAGTTGATCACCTATGTAAATTCATTACCATGAATGGAAGCAGGCATGGGATACCGTTAACAGGGGCTACTCGGGACGGGCAGGGCTACTTGGGGCAGTCCTCCGACACGGCGTAAAACTATAGTAGCAAAACTAATTGATATATTGCAAAACTAAATATAGTGGCATAAACGTCAACATTTTTCCTATCTATGTAGGATAAAGGAAGTTGAAAAATACTACATTTACTAGCTTTGAAAAATTCCTGAAAAAAATGGTGAAAAATGCTATTTTGAAAAGTTACTTCTGCTAAGGTCTGTAGCCAAAAAAATATTCACTGTATTAAAAAATTTTACTTACACAAAAGATGCACCCAGGTGTCGGCTTGAAAATGTAATTGACGGAATTGTCCTATCTCATTAAAAAAAAATTGCGGCCATTTCCGCACAGCGGGGCTATTCGGGACACCCCCAAAAACGCATTTACAGTAGAACCTCAGTAAGCAAAGGCTCCAGTTAAGAAAAAATGGATTAAAAACAAAGAATATTGATTACATTTACCTCACTCAGCAAAAAAATTTCACTTATCGAAAAATTAGTGCATCATCGGTCGTCACAAAATTGTACATAGAATGCCATATATATAATTGTGCACCGGGCATCATAGAATGAAAAGTAACTGACCTAAACTATGATTTATTTCTCCAAAATATATGATGGTTGTCACTAAAACATTCCTTTCTGTTTTAGGTATGTTTTTCACAATCTTTTTTCATAGTAGGTTCACTTAACCCAATTAAAATGACGCATAAACGAGCGCATGGCGCATAAACGAGCACTATTGTGCTTGCCATGTCCGTCTGTCTGTCTGTCCGTCCATCTGTCCGTTTGTCTGTGACCTCAAGTTTTTGTCGATGAGAAAATTCGCTCTTTGTCACTCACTGCAGTGAGTGCTGAGTTATATATTTTTTAGTAAATTCACTCAACCCAATTAAAATGGTGTGAAATTACAAGCCATCCTGTGAGCTTACAGATACAGAAAAAATGCTATAAGGCTGCTGATATGAAGCTTGCAGTGGACAAGGTTGTTGTAAATGCTCAATGGCATGTTCATGGATAAGGTAATATCACATCAATAATACAGTAATATCCCATCAATAATAGGGTACCGTCAACTGGGGTGACTTCTGTACCGTCAACTGGGGTGACTTCTGTACCGTCAAAAAAAGCAGGGACATAAACGATGGCCTAAGTCACTCTGGCGTTTATGACCTTGTTTACAACCCTGACGTTTATGACCCCGGCATTTACAACCTCATTTTAGTTTGCAAATCAAAAACGTGGTGGAAGTCACCCCAGTTGAAGGTAATTAATGTTTATGGTAATATCATCAATAAAGGAAAAATGAGTAAAAATCACTGAAAAAGTCATTTATTCTACCTCTACATCATCTACAATGAAAGAGGAGGACTTCAGAGTACTGTTAGTAATGGATGAGTACACTCTGCATGCTTCAAATATTTTAAAATGAATTTTTATTGCAAGTGTCCCGAGTAGCCCCATTCGACGGGGCTACTCGCGACACTCGTTTTTTTGCTTCTGGCACCTTAGGAATAACATATGGAATTTTTTTGACAATGCCATTTGATAGCCCTCGCAAAGAGCTATAAAATGAGCCTAAACTTTTTTCTGAAATGTTTCATCATAAGAAGTTATTAACAGTTATTAACAAAAAACGCTCAAAACTGTCCCGAGTAGCCCCAGTTGACAGTATATTTACTTGGTGAGCTGTGACTGAATTTTTGGAGCTGTGGTTTATGGATTTGCCAGCCGTGATTCAATTTCTTCAAGCCATGATTCAATTTCTTCAAGCTGTGAATTCCCTATCTCAGCCATTAAAAGCTATTTACAAGCTGGCAGCCGCGAACTTTTTACCAAGTCCCGTGCATGTGTTACCCCTAATCTCTAATTTTACCCTAAAAAAGTCAACACTAACATTTCTCTTCACTTATGTGCAGGGAGTGTACTGGTCAGGGTTGGTGATTTTATTTATTTATTTGATTAGTTTTGATTTTTTCAGCTTTTTTGTCATTTTGAAAGGTTATTTTTCATGTTGCAATTAGCTACTAACAATAACAGTATATGGATCATAATGGATGGCTAAAAAGGGCACTTATTGCCTTCAATAATGGCCAACAGGCCAAGGTGATGTTTACCACTTAGCAATTTTTGGGTAAACAATTATTGATAAGTCTGTTCATTAGCTTTGTAAAGTTTGTATGGAGCAAGGTAATGAGCTAAATATTGACCATTTAACTGGCTTCAATATACAAAAACACTTCAGGAATGCAGATCTTCTAAACATTGAAGAGTCACACAACAGATAGGTAGCTAATAGCACAGTGCACAGCACTATCAATAAATCTACTAGTTTTATGTCCTATAAATCTACCAGACTCTACACTCTACCTTCACACCGACAAGTAGTGACTGAGTGACTGACTGCACTGTTCTAATTTAATTCAGACCAATAAACCAATACCAAAGATAAACTGAACGATAACAAAACAAACCTCATACGACTTGAAACAAAACTCAAGTTATGAGAAAAACTAACACTGTTTGAAATAAACATGTGCACAATTCAAATATTTTATAGGTATACATTCACTGCATTTAATTATTTTATGTATAGTCTTATAATTGTAATTGTTTTGTTTCTAGTTTTAAATTCATATATTTAAAGATTGAAATTAAATATTTTAATTAGAATACTCGTGTTAGGGTGGAAAATCTTTCTAATTGCCTAAAAGGTCAATCCAATGTCAACCTCTCAATATACAGGGTGGGGCAGAACCAAATGAGCAGTTTTGAGGTAAAATAAAAGAGTAATGGAGGTACATAAAGAAGAAAGTTTATTTTCCTAGAGGTTAGCATAGCATACCATTTAGAATACTTATGTTTTGACAACAATATCTGGAAGATGGTGGCTGTTAGCTGCAAAACAGTTGGAGTCATTCCTGGAGGAATGAAAATGAAGCATTAGGAGACATGTGGTTCCAGCAGGATGGGGCTACAGCTCACACAGCCCAAATGTCACTCAATGTTTTGAAACGCACATTCCCGGACTCTGAGGGGTGATTTACAGTGGCCTGCAAGGTCACCTGATTTGAGCATTTGCGATTTCTTTCTTTGGGGACATCTAAAAGAAAGGGCGTTCAGAAGTCACCCTCACACCCTACCACAGCTAAGGGAATGGATTATTGCAGCAGAGGCATGGCCATACCTTGCCATCTGTGTGAATGTGCTGTAGGAAACTTCTAAGAACAACCTTAACAGTGTGACGCAGCTAACAAACACCGTCTTCCTGATATTGTTTTCAAAACATAAGTATTTTAAATGGTATGTTATGCTAATCTTGAGGAAAATAAGCTTTCTTCTTTATGTACCTCCATTACTCTTATTTCGCCTAAAAACTGCTCAATCGATTCCACCCCACCCCGTATAAGCTAGCTAACACATTTAAATTGTAGATTGTAATTAATATATAACAAATAGTCAAATAGTTAAAGACGACTGCTTATGGCCTTATAAAAATTAGCTAAGCTGCTAGCTATGTACAATGTATTGCAACACTTGATGCCTCTGTATCAAAAACATTTAATTCATTGGAACCTAATACCTACACACTAAAGGCAACAAGTTTATATACCAATTTGTCATTCATTGTAAATTTGTACTAAACCATAAATAACAATATCTCAAAATAAATAAAAGACTGCCACTCAATATATTTAAATATATAAAAAATTGAAAATAATAAAAAAAAAGATCATGATTTTTTATAAAAAAAATCAAATGATTTAATCACATGATTTAATCATTTTGATTTAATTATTGCCAACCCTGTTACTGGTATTTAGAAAAAAATTCCATGACTTTTCCATGACCATCAATATAATTTTCCAAGACTCGTATACAACAGGTTTAGCATGACTGAAAACCTAACTGTGCATATTCTATCATCTCCTACAGTTGATAACTATCAAATGTGTAAATGCATAGAGCAGGCAGACACAGCGGAACAAAAATGAGATGTATCTGAAAATCAAGCCCACACTGGTATTATTATGAATTCAAGTGTCAAATCACAACAAATATTGAGTAATGCACACTAGATTGTACATGATAATGTCAATACAGTTTAAAACATTCTTCAACCCCACTACCCTAACAACTGGCAGCTATTTCATCAACTTTTTCATTAATGTTCATTTCAACACCAGCTTTGTTTTCAAAGATCGTCTCATTGCGTTGAAATTTGCAATAATGTTCAAATCCCCATTTCTCTCCATTGCTTCTGCATATTCATCAGCTGCTTGCTCAAGCGCCTTGATGCCCTCTGTACACCTTTTCTTCATCTTCAGTTCATCTAGCTCATCCAACAAAGCATTCCTCACCTGGGCCTCCGCATTCTGCTCTTTCTCTGATGCCAAATAATCATTGTAGGCTGTTTTGGCACTGCCAGCTGCAAGCAGCATCTTGGTGATGGTCATTTTGTCCAGGCCACCAACATGTGCAACATCATCAACCACAGGGTTGCAGGGCAACCACCATTTGCTCTTTCATGTTGTGTGTCATGATTTCCTAGTTGAACGGAATCTTGTTAGGGAATCTTTTGGCATCAATAGTACTTCTACTGTGTCTTGTCAGCTTCCTTCGAGTTCTTGATGAACACTTTTGGCACCAGCCATCTCAGGTTCCTACCAAGGCCATACCTGATAGGGCTCTTGTCCAGTAGCGTTTGGACTACAGCCTGCATGAAGTCCTGTGCTCATGTCTTGAAAGTGAGAACTTGCAGTGCACTTGCCTTCTTGTCTGCAAGCTGTTTTTTTAACACGATCCTGGCCATGTAAGGGTTGCTTGCCAAAGATCATCACTGCCCTGGATGTAGTGGACCATCATGATTCCTGCCTTCTGGAACATAGCCTTGAACACTTCTGGACAATCATATAGGCAGCTGAAAGCCACCAGACAGAACAAATCAATTGAATTAGACCAATCAGCCCTCAGGAGAAACATCCAGCAATTGAATAGCCTAGCATCATCTGCCATACTGTGAAAAAATTCAGCGCCACTCGGACATAGCACGCAGGTGCCTTGCAGCCAATGTGATATTCGTCACCAAGCCATCCGTATCTAGGCGGTGCATCAAACCAGCCCACGGTTGAAAGGCCACTGGTCAAAGGACAATAAATTTTGGAACAGAACTATGCTATCTGAAACCTAACCTCAGATGCGGTGAACGTAAAATAATGTAATTTAACAATGGCTGGAAGTCCTATTAGATCTGCGGTCTGGTGGTGCATTGCAGGTTTCATGCAAGGACAGAGGAGGACAAAGTCAAATGGTTGCATGCTGTAACATGCAAGTTCCAGTTCGAGCGGTGGCCAGGGTATAAAGTGATAAAGTTCAACTCAACGTTCAGTGGTGGATGGCCATTCGACTCTAGGCTATGCGACCTCATGTCTGGAGGGTATAGAGCTCAAAATATTCAAAGCAGAATGATGTCAAGGGTTGGATACAGATAGCAGGTTCCATTCACGGCTGATTGGTGGATGTCCAGACACTTCAGAGAGATCCAAGGCCTTTGATTCAGGGCTTATTGGTGCACAAAATTGTTGGTGCTCGGCCATAGTGACAAAGGAGAATGTCTTATTATTTTGAGGTCAACAAATGTTTTCTGAACGCGAGAATTAAGACTATGCTCTTTCGCAAAAATTTTTGAACGCAAATTTTAAATGGCAATTGTGCAACAACACATTAGAGCGGTCAGACTGCTTTATTACTTTTTCAGTTGACACTTGCTGTACAACCGGACTGTTTTTAGGGTAAAATTAGTTATTTGGGGTAACACGTGCATGCAACCTTGTAATAAGTTCGTGGCTTGTAAATAGTTCGTCATTACTCAGCGTAAATGGCTTTTCATTAAAAAGTACCCGGCAACGCATCTTTAAAATGGCCGGCGACGCTTTGGGCTTAAAAATCCATATATTGCCGACATAGTGGCAAACCAGAGCTTTTTTAGAATCAGTTCATTTTTAATTTCCTCATTTACTCAAGATTTAAACCAATTTCTTAAGTATGATAATGCTGGTATCCAGGAACCAGGATACTTTACTGGTCTACTTATAGGACTCAAAAATGAACTTGAGGGAGAGTCTAAAAAATTCTCTGCTTTGCCACTATGATTGCCGACGCTGCATCCACCCTCTGCATAGTGGCGCTCTGACACGACTGCAACTTTGCAGTATGGCGTACACAATCCATAAGTTACCATTTTATGTAGACTTTTTGTTGTTTTGTGGTGCAGGACAGGATATTTTGACGGGATTGTTGAAACAGTGCAGATTGTAAATTTTATTAAATGACATGTTTGCAGAAGTAAATTTTATAAAAGTTGTAAATTTTATAAAATGACACGTTTGCAAAGTGCAAATGGAGCTTTTTTCAATCAAATAAAAATACATGACATTAGATTTACTCTTTGAAAATCATTAGATTACTTGATTTAGGGCCATGAGATTTCATACCTATGCTATTGAAATTATATGATATTAGAGCTGCAATATTTCAGAGAAAATAGGACTTTTCCAGCCCTGGAATGAAGGCCATACTCAATCTGCAATATAGGGTTACATTTTCCAAAAATTGAGGGCAAAAACAATCAATTCCTTGGCTCAAAGTCTAGTTAACACAAAGAAGAATATGCACCAAAAGTGAGAGACTTGTTTGCCTTTTTCTGGATCAACATAGATTCATAGGACCTAATCAGCTTAGGAGAAGTCCACTCAAAGATTTGCCACTCTGACTGTACGTTAGTCCACTCAAAGATTTGCCACTCAGACTGTACGTTTATTAATATTAGTGTGGGACAATCACAAACAAAGCCTACCTAGAAATTTGCAACAAACCACTCTGAAATTTGAAGCGAATATATAATAGTTTTGAAACTCACAGGAAAACTTTGTTGAGGGTATCTGATAGGTCCTCCAGGACCACCCTGGGGAGAAGAATAACGAGGAACTACTCCAGGAGGAGCTCCTGGAGGAGGTGGGGTACCGGGAAACGGAGGACGCGCCGCCATGTTTGTATTGACTTGTGAGACAGATCCCAACTGCACTTGATCTCACCGCGTGAACTTCTTATGGTACAACGTTGAAAATTTTTATGATACGACAAAAATTCCATATATTGCACAATTTTTTATATCTCACTAAGATGAAAGAAAATTAATTAATTCGTATTCCAGTACGATTATACGGCACTGTAACCCAAAATTAAGGCATGAATCCTGTTCAAATGGTTGTTTCTGAGCATTTTTCTGTTGATTGTGATCGAACCGATCAACGTACGCATGTCTCATTGCCAATTGAGCCATTTAAAAGAGAATTTATTTAATTGATTTGATGCCGGGTTGAAGGTGAAGAAGTAGTCGTGCTCAGACCGCCTGTAACCCATGGACTCAGCAATTATTGTTTAATTTAGTGCAAGTCTTCATCCTCTCACTTTCAGCTTCTCTCCTTCCTCTCTCAGCTGGTACTTTTTCTCCAGGTTGTCAGCAATCTCAATTGATTTACACAATATTTTTCCCCCTTCCAAGCGGGAAATGGCTACGTAGCAGGAAATGGCAAGTCAAGTTAAAAAAAATTAATAGGGGAGCAAAGAATTACATTGTTATTGAAAAAGTGAATGCAATAGTTTTCTTTAAATCATCTCTGGTTATTTCTGGATGCGTTATTTATCACGCATCTCTGGTTATTCAATATTGAGCTTTCTTTAATAAAGACATGCCGGCAATATCACATAAGTGATAACTTCAGCTAGGAGCTGCTGGGGTAGTGCTCTAACCAAAACCCAATTGAGTACAGGCTTTAAAGGTATGCTATTGATATACCCGAAGTTTTAAAATTTTATTAACAGAAAATTTTGTTTACCTGTGACCTAATAACAATTTAATAAACTTTCATTCTTTTCACAGCATTGAATCGTAAATTCCAAGTACTATTCGAATGAACGTCGAAAGTTTCTGGAATACATCTGTTATTAATCGATCAATCTCACCAGCATTCAATTTGATTACCTAGATAGACTACTCGCGATAGACCGACTTTAATAAGTGAGCTTTCTACGTGCCAACGGAAGTTTTTAACTTCCCCCAGCATACGACATATAAGAAGCTATAGCTATAAATCTGGTTAAATGTTGAAAATGATGCACAAGTTCCGATAATCCACGTTATTTTAGAGCAGATTTGTCTTAGCTCTTTCATTTGAAATGGATTACAGAGCGTATCAACAATAGCTTTCGTGTCTGCATATAGGACTAAAACATTTCACAAAATCAGATAAAACATTACACACAAATCAGAAATTTTAATTTGCCCTATTTATTAGCAGGGTGAATAGGATGCCATATACATCTGAAATAATACAGGTATATACCTACTTACTACACAACAACCTGTGTCGTCCAACATAGAAAAAACTCAATAGCCTTCGTTAAATATTACAAAGCATATTGTTTACCATCTTCTGAAAGAATATTGACCTCAGAAATTGTGGAACTACATCATTCTCGTACTTTTAACCTTACAGAACCATGGGCGCCAGTGATCGAGCCGTATCCAACCACCGCCTTCCATCATCGATTACGTTGGCCAACACGTCCATTCGCCATCGAAATTGATATCATAACTATCCACGCTTACATTTTAGGCAATATCTGCCTTTTCTCTTCAATCGGGATTGTGTAGTTCACTAGTCCTTAAGTAGTAGGGTTAACGGATCATCAAGAATGCGCCGGGGGACAGGTTGTTGTCTTATCGAGGGACAGGTTGTTGTTGATGGTGGAGACCAGGTAGGTGAAACGCTCGGCGACTTACCGTCAATGGTGATAGATGGGGCACGACAACATCCTGACCCATAACATTTGTTTTCCTGATGTTGATTGTCAGGCCAAACTCCCTGCAGGCGTGAGCGAAGCAGCCCATCAGCCTTTGCAGATCCTCCTCGGTGTGGGAAGACAGCGCCGCGTCATCAGCAAAGAGCAACTCTCTGATGAGGACAGCGCGGACCTTTGTTCTTGCTCTCAAACGAGCCAAGTTGAAGAGTTTGCCATCGCTTCTGGTATGTAAAAGGATGCCCTCAGTTGAGTCTCTGAACGCGAACTTGAGCAGCAGTGAGATGAAGATGCGGAAGAAAGTAGGGGCCAGGACACAGCCTTGCTTTACTCCGCTTTTGATACTAAAAGGCTCTGAGGTATTGCCATCATGGCTGACTACGCCCTGCATGTCGTCGTGGAAGGAAGAGAAGATGCTGAGGAGACGGGCGGGGGGGGGGGGGGCAACCTATCTTCCTCAGCAGCAAGAACAGACCTCTCCGGCTGACAAGATCAAACGCCTTCGTCAGGTCGACGAACGCAATGTACAAAGGCCTCCTCTGCTCACGACACTTCTGCAGCTGGCGTAATGAGAAAATCATGTCTGATGTGCCCCTCGGGACCCTGAAACCGCACTGGGATTCCGGGTAATCGCGATCAGCGAGGGCTTGTAGGTTGTAGGCAACCGAGCACCACACGGGCGAAGATCTTGCCCACAATGCTGAGTAGCGATATCCCTCTGTAGTTGTTGCAGTCGCTACGATCGCGTTTGTTTTTGTACAAAGTGATAATCTTTGCGCCGCGCATGTCTTGCGGTACCTGGCCCTCCCTCCAGCAAAGACACAAGAGCTCGTGTAGGGGGCCAAGTAAGGCCTGCTTGCCACTTTTGATGACCTCTGGGGGTATTCCATCTTCTCCAGCTTCCTTACCACAGGGGAGGATGTCGATGGCTTTGTTTAGCTCTTCGACAGATGGTTCAGCATACAGATCATCGAGGGAAGGCAAGTTCTCAATAGCGTCCAGCGGTTCCTGCGAGACGTTGTTAACATTGGAGTAAAGGTCGAGATAGTGTTCAACCCATCTACTCAACTGTTCGGTCCTGCTGGAGATAAGCTCGCCCGACCTGGACCTCAACAGAGCCGTCCTCGCCACCGGTCTCCCAGTTGCTCGCTTGATTCCCTCGTACATGCCTCTAACATTGCCAGAGTCTGAGGCCCGCTGAATGCTGTCCGACAGCTGCAGCCAGTAGTTGTTTGCGCAGCGGCGAGCCATTTGTTGGGCCCGCTTCCGAGCCGCTCTCAATACCTGTAGGTTCCGCTGGCTTGGATTACTTTTGTATTTAAGCATTGCTCTTCTTTTGCTGCTGATGGCAGGTTCCAACTCACCGATGTTGGCCCAAACCAGTCAGCACTATTTCGCTCTTTTATGCTATAGGCCAAAACAGCAGCATTATAGAAGGCGCTTCGGAGAGAGCACCACCAGCCGACTGCGCGCTCTGCAAGTTCGGCAGGGAGCAGCTCCGCAAGATGCTCGACTAGAATTTGATTTCTAGCGGGACAGGAGGCCTTGCTGGAATCAATTCTCGGCTGGCATTTCCTCTTGAGAGTGTGTAATTTCTTTGGTTTAATCTTGATGTTAGATATGACCAAAGAGTGGTCAGTATCGCAGTCGGCGCTGTGGTATACTCTTGTATTTCGCACGCTGTTCAAAGAGCCGCGGCGTGTGATAATTAAGTCCAGCTGGTGCCAGTGCTTCGATATGGGATGACTCCAGGATGTCCTGTGGCATAGTTTGTCTGGAAGAACGTATTTGTCACGCACAAGTTACGGTAGCAACAGAATTCCAGCAATCTCTGGCCGTTTTCATTCATTTTCCCGATGCCGTGATGACACAGCACTTCAGGCCAGGACTCGTGGTCTGTCCCAACGCTGGCGTTGAAGTCGCCCATGAGGTATATATGCTCTGACATTGGGATCCTGTCGATGGTATTCGACATGAGTTTGTAGAACCTATCCTTGGTCTCAGGCGGTGCTTGGAGCGTTGGTGCGTAGACATAAATGATGTTTGCAAAACCAGCCGAGGTTGAAAGACGTAGGATGAGGATTCTCTCCGTGCCACCATGCGGGGGCTCAATCGTGCGAAGCAGGGTGTTCCTGACGGCAAAGCCAACTCCATGCTCCCTCACATCACCGATACCTCTCCCCTGCCAGAAGAAGGTGTAGTGTTCCTCTTTTAGGGAGCCATCTTCAAGGAGTCGAGTTTCCTGCAGCGCTGCTATATCCACGTTTAGTCTATGTAGCTCCCTGTCAATCACTGCGGTCTTGCGAAAGTCTGAAATGACACGGAGGTCATCGGACAGGCCGGTGCGCATCGTACGCACGTTCCAACTTGAAATTCGAAGTGATGGAGACTCCATCTGCTGATGCAAAGTTATCGTCTCCCGTCTGTACACACACTGGACAAGCGTGACCTCTCAGGGTTAGTTTAATTAAATAGGTTGATACGTGGCAGCTGCGGTTTAATGGTAAGTGTAACACCTCAGCAAGACCAATGAACAGCAAGATTACAGTATGAGAAGACATGGTTGCAACGAGAGAGTAATAATTGAAAAGTCTAGTGTGGAAAAAGATATTGTAGTTTATGTCGACAATTAAGGAGCTGAAATTTTTTAAGCATGTTGAAACGCAAGCTAACACATCCAACAAACTTCTTGGATTAATCGGACGCTCGTACGAGTTCCTAGATGCAGAAGCGATGAGACAGTTGTTTGTTGCTGTCGTGCGCCCGAATCCAGAGTTAGGAATCGTTGTGTGGTCACCGAGATTTGAAAAGGACAAAAATTTAATAGAGAATGTTCAAAGATGTGCAACAAGGACAATTCCAAGCTTGAAAAGCAAGTCCTATGATGAATGATTAAAGATTATGAAGCTTCCAAGCCTCAGTTATCGACGTCTGCGTGGGGACCTCATTGAAGTAGGTATACAAGTATACTCATGGTTTATGCAAGGTCCCAAAGGATTACTAGAATTTGAAACAAGAACCAACACCAGGGGCTACGGTTATAAACTAAAAAAACTGCGCTGCAACTTCTCCATGCGACGACATTTCTTCTCGCTTCGAATCACCGGCATGTGGTTGTGGAACAGCCTCCTGCTTACATCGTTGGCGCTCCAAGTATGAACGTGTTCAAGAGCAGACTAGATAAAGCTATGGAAAATATATGTTCAGACTTGAAATGCCTAGCACCATATCGAACCCGGTGGAAATCTAGTAGCTATTTCAAACTATAGTCAGTCATGAAAAGATTCGGTCAAATGACACGATTTTAGATCTTCTGTGCACAAGGCACGAAAAGGAAAAGAATAGGCGACAGGCCACAGCAGGCCTACACTTCAACGCCGACATCACTATGTTATGTTAATATGCGATGCGTGGCTGATGACCGTTGCAAATGCCTGACCCTGAAATGTCTTTTCTCAGTCACCACGCTCCAAATCCAAGTTGATTATCATCCTTCTGTCTTCAATTCAATAACATGTTTCAGGGTCGGTTTTTCAAACTCCCTCGAACGCATGACAATGTCTATTTACGCAAGCATGACTGTCCAGGGCATACCTGATGCAAATATTTTACTTGTGTCTTAGCAATAATATTAACTCTGTCAGCATGTTGGGTTTATTCTCTATTTAATGTAGCTCGAAATTTGTATTCGCATAAAAGTGCAGCATCTACTGGACCCGGACGGTCTCATAGAGCGCGCTGGTCGTTAGGGGGCGAGTAAAGTAAATGGAAAACATTTCAAGTTACGGCTAATAAAAGTGCCACAAGTGCAGTAATCTTCACAAAACATTTAGCGTGCTGCTACAATCTAAGATAAAGATCACTGTCGTAGCCTTTCTTAACATTGCAAAACATCCACAGCTTGTTGCGGGCTCGAACTCGCAACTTACTGCTTCAAATTTTCTTAGCTTAACCGCCTGGTTTCCTTGCCGATTCTGACTAGAAACTGGCCCACAGAGCTAGGATCGAACCCGCACCTCTCTGCTCCAATCTTAGTGCTCTGAAACTTTAACCACTGGGCCACCCCAGCCTGAATACTTAGCCATCAGAATCACGATTATCAATCAATGTAATGTTGTTAATAAAGAACATTTGTAATTGGATTAATTTGATTCAAAGGATTAAATCCACATCCTATATTTAATATTAATATTATAAAGAACAATTGTTTATAAATAGCAAATCAACCTCACAGTTTATTTTAAACCAGTATCACAATGACCATCTATCTTGCAGGATATTTTGGTCTCATGCACACCATAGATCTCAAATCGACTAATGTGTCTTCTCCTTTAGAAGTGTTTGGATCGCCTTCTCCACTCTTATTGGAGCTACAAGAAGATATAAATCTAGAAGTTCCAGTTAAGGATAAACGATTATCAACTGATATATTTTTGGGCGTTGGATACTGCACATTTTTTAGTATATTAATTGAAGAGCTTGAGTCATTTTCTGTAAACCCTTCAGGATTGAGTTTCAAGTCAATGATTTCAATAGATTGAGCTTCATCCGTGTTTGGTGGGGGCGTTTGTGGCCTCTGCATCTTTGTCCTTTGCAGTTCCTTAAAAGCAGAGAGCAGCTGTGAAGCCCACTGGAAATAGCAAGAATTTAGTAATTTTTCAATGGAAGTGCCTCGTCACAGTGAAATTGATTAGCATTGACCACAAGGAATGTTTGCTAATGCTGAATTCAATTATGCAGAATGTGGTCATAAACGCCTTTTCACACAGTTCAAGCCATACACAAAAATTAATCAACCAAAATTCATTTTTACAGTTTACAGATCAAATAACTTAATTTTTCTAAAATGAGCACAATTCCAAAAAATGTTGAGATTTAAAGTGGTAATGCTTAATTCCTAAATAGTCCTAGAGGCTAACTTTCAGATCTTGGTTGCGGACTTCAGAGTTATCAGGTTGAAGTCTAAGACAGATGGAGAAGCAGAGCACAGCTCTGTGCAGCTCTCCAACACCAAGAAGTGCTCTGCCCAAAGTCTGGTGGCTACACCACCAGAGGGGCGCCGCAGCTACTGCCTCCTCAGCATATTTGATGCTGCGCACATACTCGCCAACCTTGAGAATAAAGGATTATGAGAACTTTTCTTAGCTTAATAAGGTAACTTTCATCACTTATTTTCAACTATAAAATCGGGAAAAATTGGAGACAAACAGATAAATTTCTCATTAATTTTTCCTAATTACTAAAATTTACAAATATGTGAAAGAATCAAATCCAAGATTACCAGATATCAAGGAGTCAAATTATTAAGATATTAATATCGAGGGGTTAAGGAGTCAAAGGGGTTTATTTGAATGTAAAACTTTAATTTTGTCATTTTATTTCATTTCAATTCCAGCATTGGTGCAAACTTTGCTATGTGAAGTTTTATTGTAGCTGTATATACGGTATACAAATAGACTGACCTGCATGTAGGCTTGAGCCATCATCTCCATGAGAGTGTTGTCTGAAGGTTGCAATGAAAGAGCTGCAGTCCATTTTTGAATTGCTGCCCACCATTTAGTATCTACCATAAAATAAAGTACAAAATACATGAAAAAAAGTCAAAAGTTTTCAATGTTTAAATACTTGAGGATGAAAATGGGGATGGGGATATGCTATATAGAGGATGATGTATATATATGCTTTGTGGTTGTGCTTTGTAGTATGTTGCCACAAGGCCTAGGTGGAAAAAATGTGACATTGGATGGATTCGTGCACTTGTTAAAATGAACTTCACAGATGTGTTTGGCAGAAAAAATCGCCACTAATTCCGTAGGATGCACAAAAAAATTAATTAACATTGAACTCTGCAGTGCACAGTGGAATCCAACAAACAAAACACATACATGAGAAATTCAAAGCCAGGAAGTTGTGCCAGCTCAGGTGTCAGGATGTACATAAAAAAATAGCATTAACGGTATGGAAAACGAGGTTCATGCATGTTGTATTTGAATAAGGTGAACGCAATACGGCATGGCCAAACTTCCATGCTTTTAAAGAACAAGGAAACGTCAATTAAGTTGTCAATCAAAGGTCAATGATTAAGTTGTCAAAGAAATGTCAAGAGCTGTCAATTAAATGTCAAAAGTTGTCAATAAAATGTCAAAAGTTGTCAATAAAATGTCAAAAGTTGTCGATCAAATGTTAGCCACATCAAGCTAGCAACATTGTATTATTACTTAATTTTATATCAAATCATTGAATAATAATTATATTACTTGATGTATTAAAAAATACTTAATGTAAATAAATGAAAAACAGCACCAAAACTTTTTAACACATTGACTGCAACGTGTGCCATATATGGCACACACTTAAAATATTTAGTTTTTTTTAAAAGCTAAAAGCTCATAAAAATATCAGCCAGATCATAAACTTGTGAAAAATATGATGGATATCAGACAATTTATTGTTCTGATTAGAGAGGTCTACTTTCGTTTGATTAAAGATTCCCGTCCTACTCCTACTTTCTTTTCTAACCTTTCTTCTTGGTCTTGATGTAGTAATTTCAACCTTTAACCGGAACTGTACTCATCGATATAAGGGGGTGGCGTCGACAGGATTTATAGTTTTTGCAAGATACTAATTATTTCGACACCTGTATACGGTTAAAGGTTGAAATTACTACATCAAGACCAAGAAGAAAGGTTAGAAAAGAAAGTAGGAGTAGGACGGAAATCTTTAATCAAACGAAAGTAGACCTCTCTAATCAGTTCTCATAAACGTTGTACAATTGAACGTTCATAATCATAAACGTTGTGCAATTGAATCAAGAATCTTAGTAGTTGAAATCTAGCCTGAAATAATGAGTGAGTACAAAAAAGAAAAAAGTATTAAATAAAGGGTGTTATCCTGTTCCAATATGTTGAAAATTATTTTTTTGGTATTGGTATGGATTATAACAGTAGAAAAAGATATTAGTCGTTTGAAAGTTGCCTAAGCTCACACAGAAACAGAATGACACTGTAAAAATCAACCTCACAGTGATACAGATTCCGAGCACTGGGCTAGCAATTAATAGATACTTTTTTAGCGTTCTGTCTCACTTTAGCACTAACTAACTTCCTTTTTTTTGCAATTATGTTAAAGCAAGACTCAGATCAGTACCTAGCTTGTCATGACATGATTTTCAGATCCTCAGCTTCAAATACTTTAGCGCTGGAACACAAACATCTAAAATCATTGTGATTTTGTTACAGAAACAATTTTCTTCACGTGTCTGACCTATTACTAGTGACAATACATTCAGTAATCTTCAACAACTTCAGTGATTCACATCAATTTTTACTGACTATAGAACTGATCACTATGCACCCAGGCATTTGCTACAGCAGTTTTTGCCAATAACTTGAACAGTTGTCACCATCAGTACCACTTCATGCTTTGCTTAGAGCAGCTTTGTAAGACATCACCTAAATGAATTATAAATTTCCCACTTAGCAGCATTTACCCCAGAATGATTTGTAGGTTGAGTATTGCAGTTACATTCCGATTCCACTTGCTCAAAAAATGTTTTTTTTCAAGCATTAGTACCTGAGTGATGCAAATTTTTATTGTAGTTGTATAATAAATGCCGTGTACCTCATATGGCGCACGTTGCCTGGAAAGATGAAAGTTTCCATTCCAGGCAACATGCACCAATAGAGGCTCACGGTTTTTATGTCAGAATCTTCTAGAACTCACTTAGACAAGAGCAGTGCCCACTGGAGCTGAGGAGGCAATAGTCACACTTTAGACCCTGCAGTTGGTGGTGTAGAGTTTGCCCGGGCATAGTGACAAAGCAGAGAGTTTTTTAGACTCTCCCTCAAGTTTATTTTTCAGTCCTATAAGTAGACCAGCAAAGTATCCTGGATACCAGCATTATCATACATTAGAAAGTGGTTTAAATCTTGAGTAAATGAGGAAATTAGAAATGAACTGGTTCTGAAAAATCTCTGGTTTGTCACTATCTGCTGTGGCTTATGGTTATGGTAATGTGGTGTTTCAAGAGTGGGCCACTGGGCTGCAACTTTGTAGCTCTAATGTTGTATTTAGCCGAGCATGTTTGTTTCAAGGCTTGTTTAAAAGTTAAATTTGTAGCTGGCAGCTGTACACCCTTCTTCCTAAATCCGTCATTGTGTGCTACATACCAATTCCCTCACAACTCACAAGTATTAATATTAATATGTCTGTCAGGGAAGTTAGCTTTTTTGTTAGGCCACAAGGCAAGTAAAAAAATGATTTAAAGCATCATATTTCCTCAATCGGACTTATAGATCATTAGTCAAGCCAAACTGGAAAATTGGGCAAAACCACCACTAATGAGTACCAATAAATGCCCATGGAATAGAATATATCTACTGTTTGAGCTACAAGTCTACAACTAGAGCTTTCCCACCATATTCAAACAGGGTTGGCAATGATTAAATCAAAATGATTAAATCATGTGATTAAATCACTTGATTTTTTTTATAAAAAATCATGATTTTTTTCAATTTTTTCGATTTTTTTTTTATTTTTTCATATATTTAAAAATATTGAGTGGCAGTCTTTAATTTATATTGAGGTATTGTTATTCATGGTTTAGTATAAATGTACTATGAATGACAAATTGGTATATAAACTTGTGGCCTTTAGTGTGTATTAGGTTCCAATAAATGCAGTATTTTTTGGTACAGAGGCATCAAGAGTGCAATACATTGTACGTAGCTAGCAGCTTAGCTAATTCTTATAAGGCTTTAAGTAGTCTAACTATTTGACTATTTGTTATATATTGATTACAATATACAATTTAAATGTGTTAGCTAGCTTATACAGGGTGGGGCAAAACTGATTGTACAGTTTTGAGGCGAAATAAAAGAGTAATGGAGGTACATAAAGAAGAAAGTTTATTTTCCTCATGATTAGCATAACATACCATTTAAAATACTTATGTTTTGAAAACAATATCAGGAAGATGAGGTTTGTTAGCTGCATCACACTGTTGGAGTTATTCTCGGAAGTTTCCTACAGCACATTCACACATATGGCAAGGTATGGCCATAACCTCTGCTGCAATAATCTGTTCCCTTAGCTGTGGTAGGGTGTGAGGGCGACTTCTGAACCCCTTTCTAATAATTGTTTACCCAAAAATCCCAAAGTGGTAAACACCACCTTGGCCTGTTGGCCATTATTGAAGGCAATAAGTGCCCTTTTTAGCCATCCATTATGATCCATATACTGTTATTGTTAGTAGACTAATTGCAACATAAAAAATAACACCTCAAAAAAGACATAAAAGCTGAAAAAAATAAAAAAAATCAAATAAATAAAAAAATCCAGAAAAAAATAAAAAAAATCTTTGATTTTTGATTTAAAAAAAATAAAAAAAATCCCCAGCCTGTTTTCAAGGCTGCAAGATTGCCACTAGATGAATTATCTCCTATCCAATTGTTATTAAGACTAGGTACAGTGTACAATAGGCCATGCCAGTGCCACCGCCCACCATAGGGCAGTGAGATTCGAAATATATACAAAATTGGTCAGTTTGGAGTTGCAAAATTTCATTCCTACTTGAAAAAAATTTCAATCTAGGGCAAGCTTGCAGATAATTTCACCTATTCTGATGCCTAGGCTGCCCTAGGCTATGCCATGGGTGATGTTGTAGCTATAAACTAGGTGTCATTAGACTTTAGTATTGAATATTAAGCTTTTGTCTTTAAAACAATCAAAAACGAAATGATATTTGAACAAAATTTACATGAAAATAATGTAAAAGATTAACCAAAATAATTGAGGATTGATGGAAATGGAATGATGAATTGACATAGGTAGCTATGACAAGTCAACAAGCTAGGGCAGACGGCAGAGTGCAGACTAAGCCAGGCATAGTGACAAACCACAAATTTTTTAGAATCAGTTCATTTTTAATTTCCTCATTTACACATGATTTAAACCAATTTCTTATGTATGATAATGCAGGTATCCAGGATAGGTACTTTACTCTTACTGGTCTACATGTAGGACTAAAAAATGAACTTGAGGGAGAGTCTAAAAAACTCTCTGCTTTGCCACTATGAATTTTAGCCAGGTATCTAGATTCTAGAATTAGTAGAATCTAGACTACCGGTAGATTAGCAACCTAGTTTGGTAAGTTGAACCTACTTTCAGCCAAGATAACACCTTCCTTCTTCAGTCGTTCTGCTTTAGTTGCAGCATCTTCCAGTGCAAGAGCCTTTGAAGCAGAGAAATGAAGTTCAGGCTCATTAGATGATCTCTCATGTTAGTCATGTTCTCATGTATTATGATTTAAAAATCAAATACGTATATATCATATTAACAATTTTAACAATAACATCTGAAACATCATTAACATCATAACATGTATATGTAGCTAACAATTCTTTTCGTTTCTCAAATACTATAAAAACTTCATCAAATTAGATAGAACAGAATATTTTACCAATTTCTTGCGAGGCTGCTCAAAGTCATCCAAATCGGAATCGAATGGATCTGTAGAAAAACCTACAGGTGCAGAGTTCACCTGAATATTGATCTTCTTGCGCTTCCACTCAAATTTTTGCATTTTGAGCAAATAAGGTAGAAACGTAGAATATCCGACTAATTTAAATACCGTCGTAGATTACCGTGCTTTTCAAATAGAAAAATCAATAGAGCAACAACTTCTAATTTACACACAACGCAACCATCTTGCATACTTGCTTCAACGAGACACCGATACGATAATCTACTCTATACTATAGGCTTAGTACTTAGTAGGGGCTGTAGGGCCACTGGCGCCTGGAATCCAAACTCCGAAGTTACGACTTACGATTTGACTTACAAGTACTTCAAAATCCATCGATGCGGATCCAATACACGATGGCGTATAAGAGAAATCGATTTTCCTGTTGCAAATTTGCCAACAGGCATAAAAATTCTTCGATTAGCAATAACTTTTTTGATAACCTTCATCCAAAATTAGTAACATCCACATGGCCTATTTATAACAAAAATCCTCAAATCACTTCGCAACACATGATGAACACTGAATAAAAATGTCATGTTAATAAAACGTGATAAAATAACAAATAAAAATGAATAAAAAATCAAGGATAAGAATAAAATTGCGTTGCCAATTGCAATATATTTGCAATAGAGCATTGACACTTGTTGGAATTTCAAAATGTGTTTTGACCTACAACAGGACGGCAATTAAAATCTTCCAAAATTGAGGGAATTTATAAAAAAAACTCTTACTCGCGCCAGATCAAACACAGACGACAAACACCCTTTAATGCATATATTATCAATGAGAAAAATCTATTCGCCCAAGACCAACACGTAAAGGAGCAAACCATCCGAAAAAGCGAAAACATGAAGATTGCCATTCGATAATAAAAACTTTCATAACACTCGGCAAAAACAGTAGTAACGAAACTCATGATTGATACGTATTTTGGTACAGATTTATTATATCCGGTGTAATCTGCTGAAGATTTAAATGTAAACGGTTGTAACTTCAGCTGGTACTGGTGCAATAACCGCAAATGAGACAATCTAACGAATTATCCTGGTTTCACCATCTGTAAATTCGTATGTAGAAAAATTGAAAATGTAGTTAGTTTTATTACCCAATCAGTCGATTATTCACTGAAAGTTCATCGACCACAGGAAATAATAAAAAAAACGCCCACATTCCCACAAGTTCAAACTTGACTACCGACCCATGCAGAAATGAGTTCATTTACAGCAGATGCAACACGAGTACTCGATCATCTTCTTACATGTTAAAACTACTACAAATAGAAATCATAAGTTAGAAAGCTAGAAAACAGCCAGGAAATTACTAAAATAAAAAAGTCTAACCCTTAAATATTCAAAAGAAAACCTTACGACTATTACTAACCTTACTAGAGGAACAAAAACTGGTTCAAAACGAGGTATGGTACGATATTTTTGGATTTTTTCTCATGTGAAATTTAAAATCAAATTTTATGGCTGAAATTAGAAAGTTGAGAAAACCAAAATAATATATAGCTGAAACCACACGTCGTCATCGCTTTGACATTCACCGACGACAAAAAAAGTATAGAATAGCAATCATGTTCTTGTAGAAAGAACTTTAGACCTGAAGATTGAAACAGTTAAGGCAGAGCTTTAGAAGGAGTCTTGCCAGTTATAAACGCGGTTATCTTTGAGGACTCGGAGCTTTTGAATGACGTCGTCAATGCCGTGCTCTCCGTGTACTTTGTTGTCTCTGGTACGCACGTTGACGGTGCCAGACGCCTTCTCCTTCTCACCGACAACCAAGATGAAGTTGTACTGCTCTAACTGACCGTTGCGGATCTTCTTGTTCATCGTGTCGCCAGCGTCGGTGTCGGCATCGACCTGAAGTACACATCGTTAAATGAGACAGATTGATGAATCGTGAGAATTATATGAATATAAACTAATAACTTGAGAAAAGTTGCGAAGAGTGCTGTCGTTTGAAGATACATAGATGAATTACGTGAATAAAAATTTGAGTTGGCAATCAAAGTTGCGTTTAAATGACTAAGAACGTAGTATGGTTCAAATTATTTCACATGGAACGTCGGTGCACTTCGGAACCACCTGCAAAATCTTCCTAATGGTTTATTGAAGGACGCATCGCCTACTAAAGGCCATAGGCCAAATCGTGCGCTACTGTCATAATCAACCTAAATTGGTGGTAATGGAGATTCTGCCTTTCGCGTAAGTTCAATTTGTAGCTGTTCATGTCGGTTACGACCACTACTACCCGACGTACTCCAGAACGAACGGCTACGAGAATCTTCTAGTGACTTTGAAACATTTGAATGATACATCATTCAAAGAACGAACACGGCGCAACAATTGTCGTTCGAGGGTACTATAATAAGTTGAAGAAAAACACTGAAGATTATTGAAGCCACCGCAGAACAAATCTTATACAAAAATGTCCACATTCACAGAGAGCAACCAACTGATAATGTTTAATGCTAATGATACCGCTGGAGGTATCGTATCATTAACAGGCACTGAAACGGCACCACCCCGAAAAACTAAATAAAATAACTTGACGCCCGTGAGACCTACTCAGCGGCGATACAGCGCGACTTGGAACAATACGGTCGAGTGAGTTTGTGAACTGTGCGGAGGCAGCAGTAACAATCATCGCGATCACAGCGATCAACTTCTCCCGGTGAAGCAGTAAAGTTAGAATATGGAACAGAAACTTGAGTTTTAATTGCCAAGCGATAGATTCAGCTAATTGGTCGAGAATTATGAGTGATTTCCAAAGGGATAAAAATCTATTAGGGAATCCGTGCCTTCTGGATAATTGTGTTCGGGTAAGGATGTGTCTCAAATTCCACAGAATAAATTTGAATGCATGCAGTGTTTCCGACCCTAATGTTCTCGCGTCATGACTTGAAACGCTTTTTTTAACATGCCTAACTTGACAGTCTTGTAGAAAGTAAACGTACGCTTCGCAAGTCAATAATTAATGATATGCAATGGAAGCGCAGAGAACGTCAATAGGTACTAAGGAAAAAGGTCAATCAATTGAGAAGCTTCCAAAATAGACCGGTATCTTCCAAGTAGTATCAAAAAATTTGCAAAAAAGCTGTGATGGATCTTTTTTGCCAAGTCTTGTAGAGATAGACATTTTGCGACTTTTATTTTGTAATAAAATTATAAATTACCTTTACCTTGGCAACACCGTTAGGAAGATAACGTCGCGCACACAATTTTCTCGTTAAGTCATTATCGTTCGGCTGATCCCCGCTGCAGGTTAGTTTAAGCTCTAATAGGTTCCTTTTTATTGTCTGAATAATTGTTATATTGTATTATTATTTCTCTTCATTCATCTTCAACGACGATCATTTATTAGATTTACTTTTCAACAGATACGCACGTTGCCAAGGGTATAATTATTTACACAATTTTTCCACATCTTAATACATATATTCAGAGCCCACCTTGTTATTCATTTCACTGCATTAAAATATCAGTTCCAGTCTCTTTCATTTCCATTCTTGTTTTAGTGTGTTGGTAATGACTGGCACTTACCCCACAGTCTAATGCAGATTTACATAATATCATGCACTTAATTATCCAATAAAAGGCACACTAAAAAAATTAACACAGCTTCAACGAAATAAACAATTTGTAAGAATTAAATTGGTTCCGAACATGAAACCTCGTTGGCATGTACATTCATAATAGAAGTCTTAGACACACCTCAAAGCCGGCAGCATGTAGCCTGTTCCGCACACTGACAGCGTATTCGTCAAAGGGCGGAGCCACAGGGACCACCAGCACCTGGCGGGGGCTCAGCCAGAAGGGCCACTTGCCCGCGTAGCTCTCCGTCAGAATGGCGATCATGCGCTCCACCGACCCCAGGATAGCGCGATGAATGATAACAGGGCGCTTCTTCTCTCCGGTTTCTGACACGTAGCTCAGGTCAAATCTGCAACATGGGTTAAAATGTCATAAATCGCCGTGTCTATTCTACATCAGTTACGGGATAAATACAAAAAATAACTGATCTTCTGTTACACCAAAAGCATCAAAGAACATTTTTCAAGAAAATAAGATGTTAATTCGGATCACTATTTACAAATAACTAAGATCATACTTAATAAGAATAATAAATTCTTCTACCTGATGGGCATTTGGAAGTCCAGCTGGATGGTGGCGCACTGATGCAATCTCCGCAGCGCGTCGGTGACGGTGATGTCGATCTTGGGGCCATAAAAAGCTCCATCACCGGGGTTCAGCGTCCATGCTTTCCCGAAATTATCGAGAGTTTCCCTCAGCTGGTTTTCGGCTTCATCCCAGAGCTGCAACTCTCCCATGTATTTCTCCGGACGAGTAGAGAGGCACAAATTAAATTCAAAGCCGAAAATGCCATAGACGGACTGGAGGAAGTCCAAAGCCCCCGTGATTTCATCCTTGATCATGGAGGGTGCGCAGAAAATGTGGGCATCGTCCTGTTGGAAGCGTCGGACTCTCGTCAGGCCGGTGAGGGCGCCAGAAAGTTCATTGCGGTGCAGAACTCCGAAGTCTGCCATGCGCAAGGGCAGCTCGCGCCAAGACCTGACGTGAAATTAACAACCTTAATATTTAATTAATTAACAGCAACAACCTTAATATTTCCACTCATGTACTCAGTAGAGAGTAGACAAACTCAAGTATCAATAAGTGTATGAAAAAAAAATTTAGATGATGGCAAATTTCACAGCATTATCCAAAATTTCCCCATGGTTTGGAATATAAAAAAAACATCATCGCGCATATGTTTTATTTGAGGAGAGCTCAAGTATCGACCAATTCCTTGATAAAATGAAAAGAAACTAACACATGTTGCAGAAGTACTAGAATTGTTCTGATTAACTAAGAGGAACATCGAACCCTTTTCATACCTGGATGTGTGATTGAACATGAGGCAGTGACCAGGACAGTTCATTGGCTTCAAAGCAAACTTTTCCTTCTCGACCTCAAAACAGAACATGTTCTCTGCGTAGTGCTGCCAGTGGCCCGATGTCTCCCACAATTTGGTGTTGTACACATTTGGCGAAATCACTTCCTGTCAACATAAATAAATCTCATTATCCCTCAGAGAATAAATTCTGTAAGATGTAGCCACACGTTGCTATTTAGAAGGAAATTATATATAAATAATATAATTCGTCTGATAAATTGAAATACTTACAATTAACGGAAAGTAACGTCACCTGGAAACCTCGTTTCCGATATTCATCCTTAATGAAAGAGATGAGGGCGTTGTAGATAAAGGCTCCACGAGGCGTGAAGAAGCAGCTGCCGGGACTCAGTTCGTGGAAGAAGAAAAGCTTCTGCTGGATACCTGATTTGGATAATGTATTACATATGTAAGCAGCCATTTTCAGTGCTTTTCTATCAGGATGGAAATTCACCAACAACAAACATAGTCTACATTATACAGATAATCTCTGCTTCCTCTACATTCCCCTCCTTGGTATACTCAACGCGGATGGGCTATAATAAACTAAAAAAGGTTTAACTAATAATTATTATAAAATTTCATTTATACATTTCTATCCAAAAAATTTAGAATTACTTCTATCCAGTTTGATAATGTTCGAGAAATGTTCTTAATCTTTCAGAGAATGAAGTTATCTTCCAAAATATTGAAAGTCTACTCCAACTGGGGCAGGAATGAGACATTCACTGACCAAGTTTTCTGTGATCGCGCTTGGCGGCCTCTTCCTGAAGATGTTTCCACTCTTTTAGCTGCTTGGGGTCGGGGAAGCTGATGCCGTAAACGCGCTGAAGAGATTCAGCGTCCGCCCTGCCCTCCCAGAATGAAGAAGACGCTTTCGTCACCTGTGAAGAGCGACACTGGGCTAGTGGTACTCGAACCTTGTTAACCAATTCAATATGAAACGATCTGTCCATTATGACAATCATCTAAGAAGTGAATGTTCTACCTATTCAGAATGTAATTTTCTATTGGTATTATGTTAAATTTTTCCTCAGTGGCTACTCATAAATAATAAATATGTATTGCCTTGTATGTAAAATATATCCTTCCAGTTCAAGCAACGTGAACCTAGAGGTCAACTACAACCATCACAACAAAATATTGTGAATGACTCCACGAGTTACTCATCAATTTCGAGTATTGAAGGTAACTATCCTTATCGTGCCTATAGATACTATGATTTACGGTGATATACTTACAGCCATGGCCTTTATCTTGCCGGTGTTCCTGACATGTGGGCCGCGGCAGAGATCGATGAGCGGACCACAGCGGTAAACAGTCGTCGTTGGCGTCGTCACGCGTTCCTTGATGATTCGCACCTGGGCACAGTTCATGGTAAATATAAGGTAGTCAACAAAAATACATACATGTAGCAATAAAATAATCAAATTGTCAAAACGGAAAACCCAGGCAACCTTCCTGTGTGGACAGTTGGGAAATAATCGGACAAATTTTAACTCTCAAAAATAAATTTTTTTAGAGCATTACACGAATCAATTACCCAAGAAATTGAGAAAATATGCGTATTGCTTTGCATGGCACACAAACAGAGGGAGAAGAGAGTAGTCGATCATTACTCTCGATCTTAACATAGACCTAATTTTTGAACAATTCGCAAAAAACTCTGCTAGCAAGAGATTGCCTAGTAGGTACTTTAGATGCTACACAAAATTTTTCACCAAGTTTTCTTCAGCATTTGCACATAACCGACCTTGAAAGGATTGTACTCGAACATCTTGATGAGGTCTTCTTTGGATACTTCTAGCCTCTCAAAAGGCTGTTTTTCTTTAGATATTTTCTTCATGAGGTCTTCAATGACAGGGAAGTCCGTGGACGACACACCGTCTCCCTCGTGATGCATGTCGTAGTAGAAGCCCTCCTCTATGGGCGGTCCATAGCACAGCTTGCCTCCATAGATGCGTTCCATTGCCTCGCCCAGCACGTGAGCAGTCGAGTGCCAGAATACCTGAAGTTAAAGTCAATCTTCATGGGGGGACGAACATGAGAACAACGAACATCAGGGCAAGAATAAATGTTGAGAATTTTTCCACTACAAGGAGCAATGAAAATTTTTTCCTAACAAAAAGTACAGTTCAGTTAAGAGCACATAAATTGTATGATAGGTAGTGAATAGATGCGCTATATTAAAATTTTTGCTCACTTCCATTTGGCTTTTTTATACATAATTTATGAATACTGAAGAAAACCTAATTGAACAAGGAAAGCACGTGGAGCATCAATGACACAACTTGATGGGGATGCTCGCTCCAATTTTTTTTTAATTGTACAGAAATTGATGAAATTAATCAGCCATTCTCAGTATGCACAATACTACCTATACAAATATCATAAATGTTGGAAGTATTGCACAGATATTTAATACATTCTGATTAGTTCACAGTGGGGCAAATTCACTAACAAATACAAATGAAAAAAAGGATTGCCATTAATCACTAGCCTTCAAAAATCATGATCAATCCTTAGCTCCTCCAATCACAGAAATAAATCCCAGTACATAAAAAGGGGAAATACGTAAATAACAAATCTCAAGTCTCGTAGCTTGGTTACATATTCAAGGAGATCACCTGTTTAGCATCTGGGTCATCAAATTTAAGCAGTTTCAAACTACAGTCTTGAGTGAGAGGCCGATCAAGATCCCAGACCTCTTCATCCACCTTAGCCACCACAGTGGTATCGGCAAGACCCTGACTAATCTCCTTAGCCACATCATAAGGGGTGGTGCGCCATGAAAGACCTTCCTTCACAGTTCCATCAGGCAATGTAACCTGATAAGAAACAACTAGTCAAAATGGGGAACAGAATTATTTTATACAAGCTATTTAAAGGATCAAAATTTTTTATATGAAATTTAGAGGATCCAAGCATAAGCCTGGTATGATCTATATATGCATAATTGACTCAGAGGTTTATTTGGACAGATGAAAGTACAAATTGCATCAACATGCATATAATAACTGCATAAATTGCATCAAAAATTACCCTTTCTTGGCTAACTCACCCAGCTGTATTGCCATAGAATCAACAACAATTTCACACATTTATCCAGACTGATGTTGAACTACCATCATATTATCAACTGTAATCTATTCATATTAAAGTAAACTATATTATAATCTGAAACATTGAATGACTGCTGAAATTTTAAAATGAAAAACTTTTTAGTTTCTCTCCCTCTTATCAACCATTCAACCTGCCCTATTTTTGGTGAGCAATGTCGCAAATTTACCTTAATGGGTTCAGGGGTTTGGGATGCAATAAAATCATCTTGTTTCTTCTTCAACTCATCCCACATCTGCAGTCTGTGTTCAATGAAACCTGGCGGAGGCTTGAGCTCACACACGGAGCTGCCACCATCACCCTTACTTTTGGACTGCACATAAACGAATTATGACATAAATAAATAGATTGTGCCATAAATAAACAGATTATGCTGTAAATAAATAGAAGGCCATAAATAAAATAATTGGTGGTAATGATAATTGTGTCAGACGTTGACCAATGAAAAAAGTATCAATAATACACTTGAGATTCTGATAACTTGCATTCAGATGGCACACAAAAAATGTATTGCATGACAATTGCTCAATTTAATCTATGAGTAATAGAATAGCATTTAAGATCTACTAAAGCAAAAGGAAAACCATGTGCTTTATACCTTTATGTATAGTCAGATGGGGTAAGACAGGACCGAAATCACTAACAAGCCCGTAGCATCTATACCATGAATAATTAAAAAATCCTAAACCTATCACAAGGTGTATCTATGCAATGGGCTTCTAAGCTACAACTTTGACGTTTTGCATCTAACATTGTTTTCTGTACAGATTACAAAAAGTGAGCTGGTCCCATCTTACCCCATTGGGGTAAGATGGGACCAGGCTGGGGTAAGACAGGACCAACTGGCAATTCTTATGTTACAAGATTTTTAATAAAATTACAGATCTGATATTCAATATTATCCATCTAGAAACACATTATTTGATTAAACAACCACTTCTCACTGTTTTGTATTGCGGGAAGTCAACTATAATATCAGTCACATTGGAGTTTTTGTCACGAGAAAACTTTGTTAAGCATAATAATAGTGGGTTGGCTTTGGTTCATTGTAGAGCACTGCTAAATGCTTCATGTATATTCCATTAGTGTCATTGTCTGAAAAATTTATCTAATTGGTAATAAAACCAATGGATAATAACTTAAGTGTCGAGACATCATGTGTTTCCTTGCTAACTGCATTTGTGGTGCACTTCTTTAAACATAGCTCATGCCCTCTCACAGAGTTGCAATCATAATCATTTTTCATGTTTCACACAATGATTTTTCCCCCGGCCAATCTGGCACATAGTTTTGCAGGTCAATAATGGGAACTGACATCCCTATTTTCTCCATCCCTTTGATGCAATTTAAAATAGTGCACTAAATTTCTCTAATTAAAAGAGCTAACAAGTTATAATGAAGTTTGAGCCAAAGATTAAAATTTTGACCAAAATACTCCATGTACTGACTGCACAATAATATATTCATTTAAAAACTATTTTTGATAAACTGTTGGGTAATACGTAATAGAGGACCATTTGTGGGGGAAGACAGGACCGCTTGTGTGGTAAAACAGGATCATTTAGTGGTCCCGTCTTACCCCATGTCCAGTCCTTTTTTACCCCATGTTAGAATACATGTCAGGCAGTGATGGTAGCAGGTAGGAATGCCAAGTATGTCTCAAAAGTTGCTTATTACTTGAGGTTACCTGCCTACATCCACAAACCTGGCCAAAAAATTTTTTGTCATTAGACAGAGCTTATTTCCTAAACAGGGTTAACTATTTTGTGACCCTACTTCACATAGGTTTTCTTTAAAAATTAGCCAGAAATTCAATATTTGCAGAAGAGGGTTGAAACAAACACTGAAATGACAGGCAATGATTGTTCTAACATATTCTTTTGTCAAATTAAATTCAGTGCAATTAGAATGCATGCCATGGGCTGGTCCTTTCTTGCCCCATGAAGGCTGTGATCCTGTCTTACCCCACTTGACTATATATCTTGCATGCACAACATAAAGCAAAAATAAAATGCATGAAATTATGAAGCATTAATCAGGACAAAAATTTACATAAATGAACATCAAGCAACTTGGAGCATGTAAAAGCTACCACTTTAGCCTGTTGTCAATGGCAACCTAAATAATTTTAAAATATTTTGAAGTTCAAATAATATACAAGGGTATAAAAATTAGGATGGTTAGAGAGGGAGTTTAACAAGAGTTATTTGTAGGCAAGATAAGATAACTTTTGTTCCACAAGCTGCAGGTTTTATTCAAGATGGTGACTATAAGTTGGTAGTGGGTAAAATGCCAATTCTAGGGAATGCAAAACATTGTAATGTTCTGGAAGATTAATAATGAAAATCCCTCACCTCATCTTTATGCTTATGTTCCTTTGGCTGCACCATTGCTTTCTTATCCAAGGATTGACTGGAGTGTAAATTTTTTATAATTTTTACTCCATCAATAGAAATAGTGTCAAATTTAACTGAGCTTATTGCCTTTACTTCAACAGAAGAAAAACTGGCTACATGATTAAACCATCTTAGAATATTGACATGCTTTTCATAAGCAGTTCTTGCAGCAGAAATTGATCGATGCAGCATAACATCAGCAGATGAAAGCTGATAACCACAAATATAGCTTTGCCTTGATAATAATCTGTCCAATGCTCCCAAATCAAGAACTTCAAACCTCTCTGACATCCTTCTTAGTTAGAAGAGTTACATCAATAGAGATTAAAATTCATCTTAAATCACACCTCCATCCATTAAGCAATGAAGAAATACAATATTTCCTGTTAACTAGTTCTGAAACACTTGTAATCATAAATGATACATATATTATTAAGGGTTGCATATGAAAAAGAAAATTAGAAAGTATTTTATATAACAGCTATATCTATTCAAGATTAGTTGGTGCCACTAAGTTGTTGGATAGAGCAAAGAAATAAGAATCACCAAATTTTACAAAAAATCAGTATGCCTTAGGGTTTAGGCCCCTATATTAGTCATATATTATTATGTACCTATATTAAATATTCATATATATATATATATTATGGTAGTGTAGTTAGGCAGAAGTTTTTCATTTATACAGGTTTGATTGAAGACCAGAGCGTACGGTACATTTTATTGATAATTTTCTTACTGTTTTTTACGATGAGCCAAACAAAATTTCTTGCAGGTGCTTGGATATCAAAAAGCAGATTACCAAATGACATTTTACTAGAATGCAACATTTCAAATATATCTATATTCATTATCAAGCAAGTGAACAGTTATTACAAAGCTAAAATTGAAATATGGACATGACATAAGTTCATACAGAAAGTACCGTAAAATGGGGTTACTTTGACCGGCGGGGTAACTTTGACCACTTTTCGTTTTTTTAACAAAAACCCCCAAAACTCAAAAACGATTTGACATAGAAAAATTTTGTCAATGGCCATCAAAGGCCTAATACTGAGAGGGTAACAAAGACCATCACTTTTTTTGAAATTACATCAAAACTATGAGAGGCAGGAGCCAGCAATTTATGGTAAGTAAAGCTAGAGTATAGACCTGTATTTTGCATGTTTCAATTTAAGTTTAACTTATCTAGTAAAAAAATGGCATCAATTTGAAAAAAAAGTGGTCAAAGTTACCCCATTTTACGGTATCGTAGATACAGTTCAAAATCAAAAATCAAATTAATCCAAGAATAATTTCAACGTCCTGACGAATCCCGCAGTTTGCAAATTGATAGCAGGAGACTCGTCCTTAATGATGAGAGCCTCCGCTATCGACAGTCTCGTAGTGTCGGGGCACTGACGATGCTGGTGTAGGCCTCCAACATGGCACGGGTGATGGTCTCGTTGTGGGCCTCCCGCATATGATTCTTTGGTCCTCCAGCTTGCAGATGGCATGGAGTCTGCGACTCAATGTCGTGCTAGTCAAACCGATGTAATTTACATTTTGGAGAAGTCTACAACCTTCTTTCATGCAGGAAAATTTGTAAATGACATTGGTTTCTTGTAGCAGTCCAGACTTTTTACATGGATTGTTTTTCATGATTAAATTATTGATCTTTTTGTTTCTGTAGTAAATCATAAGTTGTATTCGGTCAGTTACAGTTGTGCAGCTGATGTTATTTTGCACAATTGAATTGAGGACTCGTTCATCAGTCCTATGACCATCGTTCATTTGATTTTGATAGTAAATTCTGATGACGCAACCTCTTGATGGGGAATCATCTGTTTGGTTTTGATGTGCTCTGATATTAGAAATTTTTTTGTCAATCGTTTTGTTTACATAGCCGTTGTTGACAAGAATTTGTTTGCAGGTTCAAAGTTCAGTTTTTAAGTCACGAGCAGAGGTACAGGTCTTGAACGCTCGATGTATGAAGGCGCATATTGTGCTGATTTTGTAGCGCTGGGGACATTCGCTTTCTTGGTTCAGGACCTTTCTGACATCTGTAGGTTTTCAATAAACTTTAGTGAGTGACAAACGAATTATTATCGTCTTGCACCAGGACGTCCAGAAAAGGCAATGTGCGATTTTATCCAAATTCGTAAGTGAATGTCAAAACGGAATTGCGTTCTAAAGCCACGCGAAGCTTCATCATGTGAACTTTTTCTGGAACAATGACAAAGATGTTGTTGACATGTCGACAGTAAAGGTCAGGTTTAAGAGTTCACACATGTAGAATTCGGCAAATGTTGGACCAAGAGGACTGCCCATTGCTACACCGTTAATTTGCTGGTATATTTTGTTATCTGGGGTCCGAAAAGGCGATTCTGAAGTACAGAGGTGGAGGAGATCAAGTAGAATATTTTTAGGGATTAATGGGGCTGACAAAAATTCATTAGAGTAGATATGTTTGACTATTATTTCTAAAGTTTGTTCGGTTGGAACGTTGGTGAATAGGCTATTGACGTCAAGTGAAGCAAGCTGACCAGATGGGCACCAATTGCGAAGGATCTCCAAGAAGTCTCCTCTAGATCGGAGTGAAAATTTCTTTGGTATGTGCAGTTTTATAATAGCATCCAATTATTGGGCTGTTCGGTAAATTGGAGAGGTAACTTGAGCAATTATGGGCCACAACGAGACCATCACCCGTGCCACGTTGGAGGCCTGCACCAGCATCGTCATGCGGTGCCCCGACACTACAAGACTGTCGATAGCGGAGGCTCTCATCATTAAGGAGGAGTCTCCTGCTATCAATTTGTAAACCGCGGGATTCATCAGGACGTTGAAATTATTCTTGGATTAATTTGATTTTCAATTTTGAACCGTATCTCTGATACTTTCTGTATGAACTTGTGTCATGTCCAAATTTCAATTTTAGCGTTGTAATAACTGTTCACTTGCTTGATAATGAATATTGATATATTCAAAATATTGCATTCTAGTAATATATATATATATATTAATATATATATATTAATACACGCACATGCACGCTCATCGAGAGCGCTCGTGTATAATGTATCAACTTTTTTCTAACGAAATTAGAATAAAAGTTCCAACTATTCACTGTATACATGACACCTATCAACACAGCTGAAACCTGATTTTTCGCTCTCATGAGTTTTAAAGTTTTTTTATGCAGAGGTTTAAAGGAAACCAAAGCACAAAGTCAAGTTCCAACTATTCACTGTAGGTATATATTACACCTATCAACACAGCTGAAACCTGATTTTTCGCTCTCGAGAGTTTTGAAGTTTTTTATGCAGTGGTTAAAAGGAAACCAAAGCACAAAGTCTCGTGCATGGAGGCGGACTGCT